TTTATCCGACAGAGACCCGTCCGACCTTTTTTCCCCTTTTCTTTCTCCTTTAACAAGCCGACCGTGTGTCCTCTCAAAGGACCTTCTTCCGACATTAATAACTCCCTAGCTCTCTCCCCCTCCCTCCAGTACATTGATTTCCACCGTACCCGTATCGATACTTTCCGCTCGTACACTTGTTCTCCGCGAATTAATTTTTACCGATACCCACGTAATTCTTGGCCAAGTCTTCTCGATACAACCAACGATCGATATCAATGCTTTTAGCACCATAAACATTAGTATTACGATATACGCAAGCAAGAACCTTATCGAGATCAAATCTGTCGTTAACGAGTTGGGTATAAGTAATTTGCACGATATTGTTAGAAGCAAATTATGTTGTCCTTCCGCGAGTGAGATGTCACTTGGTATCGGATATAGAGCGGATTTTACGAGCATTTCATGCATTTTAAAGTGTTATAATTTAGTCTCGAAAGAATTGCAAAGCTCGTGGTTTAGCGAGAAAACCAAGCACAACGGAAGAGGATATAGAGACGTGCGTCGTTTTCGGGAATTATTATCACTAGGATATATCCTCCCAGCCGGACCAAATGGTCTGCGCTACTCGGAGTAGCGGGGATATTTATTACGTAAGCACTAGTCCCCTTCTTGGAAAGAGCATCACGTAGCCAGGGCGAGGCTTATTGTTTCCAGCGGGTCAACCTTTGGCCGCGTGACGAGAATTCCTGGGCCGCTCGATACTCTCTCTCACTCGGCGTATGTGTGTGCCGCGTGCCCCTTTCCCGAATCGAGCGAGCTCGAACGACTGCCGAGATTGCGTGCTCTCCGGCCGAGTATTCCGCGTGAAAATAGGCCCAATCTGGTGGCTTCATTGGCACACTCTTGCTTAGCAGCGAGATTGCCAGCTGTGAAGCTCTTAAGCGACTAGCAGGGGGCGAAGCCAGCCCGCGGATTATCTAATAAATTCCAACATCTAGTTGCTGGCGAACCTCGCTCGAGCCAGCTCAGAAGTGAAAACTATGGAGAGCTTGCGGAAACTTAGATGAGGGCGACGTTGCTACAGCCTCTATCGGTTGCACGCGCTACTTGCGGTTAGTTTGCCAGCGATCCAACCTACGCAAATCCCAATTCTGAAGCGCGCAACTATCCCGCATGATGGAAACGAGCCACGCTATCGGCTCCCTCTATCACTTGCTCTCAACTTTCTATCGGCCGTGCTCACAGCTCTCCCGATGATAGCGGCCTGCTGATCGCGTCGCCTTCCATTTTCACGTATATACTTATATTATTCGACTGGCTGTGGTGCCGATTGAAAGCGTTACCAGCGCTTCGTAACGCGTCAATTTATACGTTAGTTCAAATATCCGGGAGCTTCGGTGACCACGGGTAAATTGAACGCTCCACTTAGCATCGAGCCGTCGCGCTCATTCGGCCATTGGAGTGGGAAATTGTCTTAAAGCAAAGTGGGACGAGCTAAGCGGACGCAAAGCGACCAAGCTCAACTATTCAATGAAAGTTGACGCTATAGCAGCGACGAAACAGCGCCGAAAGTACGATGAGGTTTTTTCTGTCTTTTCCGCTCATTCTTCGGTACGCTCGCGCGCCTATCTCCGCGACTCTATCTTTACGAGGGCAAGTGCCGCTCGGCTTATCGGCGAATCGGCGAATCGGGCATGAATCTCCCGTAAAGCTGAATGGCCATGGGCGAAGGAGGAGCACGCCGGCAAACCGAGCGGCCCTGTTTAGGGCCTAGCTGCGTCCAGGTGAGCGACAGAGAGAGCAAGAGAGCAGTTCCCTCGTCATTGCGCATAACTTTTAGCTGAAGCCGTCATCCCAGTAATCTCGTTGGATCGCTCGAGAAATTGGCCGGATTTTATTGTCTCATCAATGAATAACGGCAATACTTTTTCTCCCTTTGCCTCCGCTTTGTCTTCTCTTTTCATTTCTTACAACACTTTTACTGAGTATTGCACTCTGCGATACGGTCGCTCGCAAAAAACCACCATTGTCTTTCACAAAAGACAAAGCAACGTTTGATACTTCTCCTCTTCGCTGAGACCTTATTTTTTCAAGCGAAATGTAATATTGCATAACGAAGAAATTTTCATTAAAAATTTTAAGAAAAGCACTCAGCAGCTCTACTTTATAACAATTAATTATTCAGTTTGAAATATGACGTTGTGTGTCAGCAAAATGTGAATGTACTTATTAATGCCATAACGGCCTAGACTCGGCGAGTCTTGAACGACTGACTGGAAACCACGAGGTTATCGTGGTATTGGCTGAACTCTCTTTTTTTTTTGTCTTTCTCGAAGGCGGCACGTATAGCTGTACATATGAGCACGATAAAAAGCTCGCTGAGAGTAGCCATGTAAAGAAGGCAACAGAAACGCAGATCAGTTTCAGGTCTGCTTGGGAGGGATTGCGTGTGCGTGCGCTCGCTAAAGCCAAGTTGTGCGGCTTCTCGACACCGTCTGACCCGCGGATTATCGGCTTAGCCTACGAGCTCGCCGAGAGTGAGGAAGTGCAGCCGGCCGAGCCAGGCTTTGCTTGCGCTCAAGCTCCTGCACTAGAAGTGCGCAGCACTCGGCTCGCAGCTGAAAGCGGCCGGCCTCTTGCCATTCGACAATCAACGGTGGAACGTTGCGACGTTGCGACGTTGCGTATACACAAGCCCACTCGGGCGTGCTTCATATTTAATAAGCGTGCGATAATCCATTGGTCGCAACGTCGACGGCCATCGAGAAATTCGCTTGTGCTCAGGGCCGGCTCGCGTCCGCCTGCTACGTCGCTCGAGCAAATTGACGAGTCAATATGGCCCGGGGACGGTAGTTGGCACGGCCAACGGCTCGTAAGGAGCGAGGAAAAACAAAACGGATCCGGTGCGAGTTGTTGCCGTTGGCTTACGCTTCAACGCGTCCGTCGTCGTCATCGGCGTCGCCAGCGTACGGCCGTCACGGGGGCCGCGCCCCGGCACAATTTCCGGCCGGGATCAGAGCAGCGCGGTAAAACTCGAGGCTGGCAATAGCGCTATCGCTGCCGGCGAGAGAGGAGCTCGAGCTGCCGCGCGGAGAAAGCGAGAAACACGAGAGATGAGAGAGAAGGAGAGGGCGATGCCCCAGGGGCGCACTGCAACGACCTTGTTCCCGGCCGAACACTCGTCATCCTCGTATAGGTGCACGAGTCCGCGCACGCGCCAGTCAAACAAGCGAACAAGCGAACTAGCGAACTAGCGAACTAGCGAACTAGCGAACAAGCGCAGTAGAAAATTTTTCTTCCGCGCTCCGTCTCCTTCTTGTTCTCGCTCTCGCTCCCCTTTCTTCGTCTTTTCGTCGTCGCGGTCGATGCGTGTTCTTGCGAGCTGCCGGACTGCATGGTTAATGCGGCTGCACTCTACGGGCTTCTTCTTGGCTAAATTATAGATGAATATTGAAAGGGATCATGTTTTACGAGGGTAATTAGGCGCCGTTAAGGGGATTATCGAGTTTTCAGGTTAACGACGCTCTCGCGCGAGCTACCGAGCTCCTCGTTTCTTCAAACAAGCTCATCTCCTCTTTTCGCGTCTTTTTCCCTGCTGCTCCCTGTCCGAGCTACTTTATTCAGCTAGTCAACTGCTGGCCAACGATGCAATTTCTCTCCTTGGCTTTTCAAAAATAATCCCTTAATCGGCTCCAGCTTCCGACGCGAGCCAGTTGCAAAGATCGGGTCTTTTATCGAAGTATGGAGGCGTAACGTTGAGAGCACGGTCATTAGCGAACATCGGAAATGAAAAGCCAAAGGAATTTCAATATATAATATCGAGCAAGCAGTGGTCGAGAGAAAAAGAGATGCACTCCACTCCGCTGGGCAGTTCAGGGCTCGTGGCTCGTGTAACCAGGGCCGCGCCGCCGCTGGTGGGGAACTTGACGCGAGGTCTAATTAGCAGACCGGAGAGCCAAGGCGTAAAAAGAATTTTTCACGAGCCGAGAGCCGATAAAGTACCAAGAATATCTCTGGGCGCCGGATGCTGGGAGAAAAAACGAGCGAGGAACAGGGCTGCAAAAGAGGCGAAATAAATAGCGCGAGTAGCCTCCCTCTTGCTTCCCTGCGGCGATGCAGACTGCTACTCGCGCTGCCACGATTTTGGTACCGTGAATTTCGCTCCTGCTGAAAGTGGCTTCTGATATTTACAGTTTCTCCGGGCCACGGAAAGGAGAAAGCAAAAAGGCCAAAGCCGCTGACACCTTTGAGCGGCGCGCCTGCCGTGCCGGAAGAAGCTCTTGGGAAATTCTACTGAGAGCCAAGCTAGGCTCGCCCGAGTGCTGGCTGGCTGGCTGGCTGGCTGGCTGTTGCTTCTCTCGCGTACTTACGTATTCCACGAGAGAGAGACTGAGGGAGTGCAGCTCCTATTTTATTCGTTTATAAAGCGAGCGGCTCAATTGCTCGGCAAACAGGGAGGACGCGCTGTTGCCGCTAATGCCCACCGTCGTCGTCCTTCTCACAAATACGTCCAGACTGCGCGCCAGTTTCAAAAAATAGTTTTAGATTGGTCGTTAGATCTGATAATGGACGGGATGATGGGGAACAAGGCCGAGAGAGAGACTCGGAGAACGATTTAAAAAGGGGCACCGAAAATAAAGGGAAAAGTACGTAGCGGTCACGAAAAATACGAGAACCGGACGAGAACTCTAGCTTTGGCTCTTCGTAAATTTGGCCGGTCCGAGTCACACGAGGTCCGACATATTCGTGTCCGCTTCCGTTTCCCGTTCCTGTACCGTCGTCGCCTTCTCTTTTTTCCTTGTCTCGCAGACTCATCCGTCTCTCTCAGCCCCTCGCTGACCAACCCGACTTTCGGACTCATTGCTCGCGCTCGATTGACTCTTTCATTTGACGACGCGAGAAGCATAGTATCACGTAGTGCATGCCTACTGTAGTAGATAGTAGCTTGGTAGCAAGAAATAGAGCTGTGTTACGTTCGGTTCAGGTAGCGACTATCCGATCAGTGTTTCCTGTTGCAGGACCACCGCAACTCGCGATGGCAGTACTTGGGGGTACCGCCCATTTGCCCTGCGACGTTCGGGCGCCCAATCGCACCGACTCCTACATCCTCGTCGTCTGGTACAAACAGGACGTCAATCCTATTTTCAGGTAAGTCACCTCATTTTTCACTCTCGCTTGTTTCATCTGAGAATATATACATTGCACGAAAGAGCAGTTCCAAGAGCTTAGCTTGGACTGGAAAAAAATTATTCCATTAAGATAACAGCGCGCTGAAATAAAAGATTCCAATTAAAAGCTTGAATATTCATGATCGGTCTTAAATTTTGTAATTGAAGAATTTAAAGGACGTCGTGCTCGATGCAAGCACGAGCAGTAAGAAAGCGAGCGGGGTTGAGGGGGGAGGGGGGGGTGGCCTGGGGGGCGAGAAGGAGTTGCGAGCCGAGCGCACGCGAGACAGTTTTTCAGGAGCAAAAAAATATCAATCTGAAACGAGGCTGACCGCGAGCCCTCGCGCTATCGAACGAAAGAATCTGAGCGCGTGCCGCATTACACTTACAGACTGGATTAATGGTCAGCTGCGCTGGAATAAAGAGAGCAAAGTCGAACGAGGCCGCAACAATAACGATTTTCGCGAGAGACCGAGAGAAAGGCTCTCGGGCCGTAAGTAACGGCCATGTATTTCACACGAGTGGCCAGTAGGACGTGATCGAAGGCCCTTCTTCGATTTATCCGATCGCGAACGAGAGCTACGATAACGATAAGAGTAGCCATCTCCGAGAGGGCTTGAATCAATTGGCTCCTTGCCGCTCGCGCCACCTAATGAGGTGCTCGTGTCACCGAGTAATAGCCTATTGCGTAAACTCGGCCTGTTCATTGTCATCACGCGAGCTGCTCCTTCGAGCTCACCCTCCAACTGGGACATTCGTTTTATACTCGACACATTCGCACCACCTCGTAATTTTATTTTCCCTTATTATCCTTTTGGCTTTCGGTGCTCGGTGCTCTGACAACTACGCGTTCGTTCACTTTTTTGAGAGTGCAGCACGAGAATCTGGCCAAGCGACATTAGGCGCTTCATAAGAACACGCTGCGTAAATGGTAAAATCAACGTGTTGCATAAAAGACTAGTAAGCAGAGCGCTATTGGAAAATGCAGCCTAGCGTGATAGCAAGCTCAGCGCTAGTTATCAATTGAAACATTTTCGCAGAATAGCTTGTAAGCAGGCTAATTAATACGAAGGTAAGAGCGCGAAACAGGGACCAATAATTAACGGTATATGAGACCGTTGATAGTTGCCGAGACGCAAGTTTCGAATGGTACGCGTGATAATTGATTGTAGCAGGCTGCAACGAGCGGCAAAATTATTCAGTTGGATGAAAAATAAGCTGGCGCAAGATTGAGCACGCCAAGAAGCCATTATCGGAAAACTTAGCGAGAGATCACGTGCCTCGCAAGATACTCGCAAGCTCAACGCCAGTTGATCCACTTGCTTGCAGCTAGTAGAGGTAATTCGATGACTCGCGAAACAATTTTGCGGCGAGGAGAGCAAAAATGTTTTTCGAAAAAACCGCTCGAAAGAGAGACAGAGAGCAAGCAGGTGCACGCTTCTTATGCTAAGCGCGTGCTCGACATAATTTTTGTGCACGGATAAGGCAACCGGAAATTTGTGTAGCGAGGCCACGGTGGCCAGAGTTGTTCGAGCAGTCTCCAGCCATGCTATTCGTGCATGCTATTTTCTTGAATTTGTGCGACGGTTTTGCTTTGCTCCTGTCCTGGCCCTTACTCTTCTTACGGCTAAAAGGATTGCCCTGCACATGACCTCGGCAAATCGTTCCGCACTGAAACAATAAAAACTCAGCCGAGCGTATGGTTGGCTCGCTTGCTCGCTCGCTCGCTCGCTTGCTTGCTTGCTTGCTTGCTTGCGCCCGTTTTGCACGCAGCCTGCCCTTAGCTTGCCTCGCTGCGTTTATCCAAGCACATACGCGTAAACAAGCACCTCGCTTCCGTAGCTGTAAGCTCGGAATATTACAAAAATACCGAGGAGTGCGCTTTCACTTTCGTTGTGCAAACTCCGCTGTTGATTTGTTAAATATTGAAACGCTTGGCAGATCTTTTGCTATATTGCTCTCGTAACACTTGTGCAGCTTCGCATAGCGGCTTACTACATTCCTTATCGTCGCTTCAGAATTCTATCGTATTACCATTTCATTCGATATACACCAGAGTAAATAACACAATGGGCTTCTGCACAATAAATTATATTGTAAAACTTAATTGGACATAACTTTAGCTCGATTAAAAACACGATAAAACGAGAACTAAATAATAGTTTAAAGGCAACGCGAGTGCGCGTATATAATAAATTTAGCCGAGTAAAACTCATTATAGCGACGGCGCAACTCGCTCGGGCACAGTAGCGGCAGCAGCACTTTCAAAATTGGCATTTTCCCAACTTTTCAATGTCCGTTAAACACTTGCCGAATATAATTTAACCACGGTCAAATTAAATTATTAAGCGCTTGCTGGTCGGGAAAATCGCCGCCCGACAGACTTTATTATTCAGCAGTGTGGATGGAGCCGTCGGCTAGTGTTTCCGGCCTAGCAGCCGTATAAATTTTAAGCTCGATAAAATAATGGTCCAGGAGACATATTAAATTAGCCGCGATATCGAGCCACGAGCCAGAGCAGTCGATAAATTAATAAAGCAATATCGCGACTGTCTCGTATTACAGGTGGTCATCAATTGGCGAAACGAAGCTCCATTCACGCGGCCAAGTCCAAGCGTCGCCGCAAATCAACGCGCTCATTGTCGCGACCAATAGCACGCCGCCGCCCCGCCCTCTCTTCATTTATTATTCAATAACTAATTGAAAAGTGCCTATTGAACCTTTCACTCTCTTCCTCGATAACTCTCACTCTGCTTTTATTCATTTATTTTATGTTTATGCTATCCGATTACTTATGCTCGGATCATTCTACAAGAAAACTCAAACTTTCATTTCGCCGCAACAATGGTACACAAAACTATATATAACAAATACTTCAATTAATCATTGGCTAATGAATGGCTTACTGCAAACTCACAATTGGACAGTTGATTTGCGGCGACCATTCCAATGGGATTCATGGCCATTCGACGTTTAATTAAATCTCGTATGATAACCATTCCAAGTGAATTAAACATTTTATTCTCGCATTCATTTCATTCCCCAACTAACTATTCTTTTCACGCACACATTCATTAAAAAAATAATAAAGTCTTTTTATCAAAATCTTGTAAATAAGGCATGCTCACCATTATAACCTACGTACTAGAAAAAAATAGTGCAACTGTGTCGCATAATATAAAAATCAACGACGCCATTATCCAATAAGATTGAAGCTGTGTAGTTAAACTAATTAAAGAAGCATTTGAACTTTATAAATTTTATTTGAATTGGAAATCGCAATCTCAAGATGTAGCGATTTGAAACCAATAGACAAAGACATCAGAGACATTGGAAAAAATATCAGAATCTTCATTTTCACTCATGGAAAAGACCAATAAGTCGATTAAATGGGCGAAGCAATCGAATAGTAGAGTAAAACGAAGGTCCCCGAAGAGAACAATTTTCCAAGTCCCTCTGGAAAACTTAAAAAACACTCGAAGGTACTCAAGCGAATTTACACGTAGATTGTACGTAATACCCAGTCGGCGTCGAAGGTGGGGTAGAATTTTTCAGCGTGTAACCACAGCAGGAGCAGGAGCAGCAGCAGTAGCAGCCGTAGAGTCGACGGCGCAGCTGACGCGAACAAGATGAATGCCTGGTTCACTGTATTTTTACGCGCCTTAATAAATCGCTCCTACAGGCGCTACATCGGAGAATCTAGAAATTCATGGGAAAAATCTGCATATTGAGTGTACTTTGCAGGTGCGCGCGGTTATATAAATTGTTTGTTACTCTTCTTTTTTTCCAACTCTCCTGGAAAATATTCGAAAGTATTGGAAAATATTGGAAAGATCGGGCAGAGCCTTGAGCGTTAATTTTCCAGGCGCGCGCTTCATCAAGGTGTCTAGGCAAGACATGTCGCGGGACATTAACTGACGTGAAAACACGAGTAGAGCAGAACAGACGGCAGGCGGGTAAGAAAAGAGCATTGCCCGCAGGTAGAGTGAGAAAGGGACAGGGAGGAGCTCATAATGAAAGCGATGTGTCTTCATTTGGTCGTCGCTCGTTTCAGCCGAGCGCTCGCGCACGTAGCCAGGGTCTACACACACACACAGCGGATACGTCTCTATTCGAGTACATTATATCTGGTTAAGGCTGTGGTCGTCCGAAAACACAGGACAATGCTTTTGCTATCTGCATTTGTGTCAGTCTGGCGCGCGTTTGCGTTTGCCCGCGCCGGATTACCTAACAGGATTTTTATCAACAGCGTTTCGGTTCACACGCAAGCTTCCTGTTCCTCTCCCGCTCGCAGCCGCAGAACAATCATACGAGTTAGCATTTAGCGAATAATGCATCAGGTTGAGCCAAGCAGCGTTGTTTGATGATTAAATATTATTTCTTATTCGCGCTCGTGGGCTTTCATTTCGTTTAACCAAGCGCTTAGCGTTCATTTGACAACATGCGCACGCGCAATGAGCATTGATTGCGTTGAAATAATAACGCGCGTGGCCGCTCAAAAACATTATAACGAGCAGCCATTATTTCATGCAAATTACGTTCTGAATATTGAAAGATGGCTAAATTTAGAGCTGCAGTCAAGTGCTCGCGGGCTTTCTCGTTCTCGCTGAACGGCTCCGGTGGCGCATCAAAGTGTCATTTCTCAATCAAGCTGCACAATGCACGGCAACTTTTAGTCAGCCTAGGCCAAGCAAACGCTCCTAATTCAATTCGCTTGGCGGCAGTTCTCTCGGTAAACAGCCGGTATATTTAGTAGGGAGGAGCTGCAGGTCGACGTCTTGGGTGAGGCTGTTAGAGCGAGACGCGAAGGGACCGTCGCTATGTACACGGCACGTCGGAGCCGTCTCGCAGAGCTAACTACCGCAGCTTGCAGCGCAATTGGATTTACCGCTTGAAATGACGACGTTCGTCTCTCTTTCTGTGGGGGCCACGCGGCTGCCGAGAATCATCACGCTTTTCTTCTGCCGAAGCGCTCATCGACGTGGCGCAATCTTCTCTTGTCTGCTACCAGTCTGCCTTCCAGTGTCATTTCAACATTATTCAAATCTTCAATACGTGTAAGCGGCTTGCGCGGGAATCGAACGCTTTCACCAATTTACATTCGCGTCTATTTGGCTTGAGCATGAAATTGACAGAAATCAGAACATACCTACTTTGTTAAATCACATCCAGAATTCGGACGAATGGAGGTTGCCAAGGAACGAAAAATTACTGGATGAATTTTGAATTATGATTCGCGTCCTTTCCGAGAGCAGATGCAGTGCAAGGCGAGCTCGACCGAGTTCCGAATAAGTCGGCTGTCCCATTGAGAAATCAAGAGTCGCAGTGCAGTGTAGCAAGCTGCAGTTTTGCCGACGACAGTGCCGGCCAATTGTGCAACAGTCGAGTGACTTTCCAGTTAATTACGAGAACGCGAGATTGTCCTTGGGATTCCCGCGTCTGATTGCAGGCAAGTGCGCGCTCTCAACCGAGTTCCGTCACTATCCTCTTCGATCTTGTCTCGATCTGTCGTAGTTTGCTAATCAGACTAATAGCTCTTATCGAATAGTCGCCAGCTTCAATCGTTATGCTCTTGCCTCTTCCCTTGTTTTCATCCTTGATTCTCTTGCGCCCATCGATTCCATCGATCCCATAGATTCAACGGCCCAACAATTTTTTTTCCGCTCGAATATCCCCACTCGCCTATCTGTCTTCCAGTCTCTCTCTCTCAATGGATTTTATTTGACTTGTAATGGTAGGTGATGGATCGAACTAGGGAGAGCTGGCTTGTTGACATCATATTCGAAATTATGAGTTGATGATGTTGTTTTAGGAAGGATGTGATTTCTGTCTCATATTTATCTTGAGATCGAATTTACGCACGCGTTCTCTTTCTATTATGAGCCCGAAGCAAACAAGGAACTTTGATTTTCTTCCTTTATCTTCTCGGTCCGACCCTCGTAATAAGATATAAATAATTCGGGGCTTGTGTTTCGTCAAACTGTCGCTTAAAACGCAAACAAAACAGCTCCCATTTCCTGAACGAGTATATATATATATATATATCAAGCGAGAGGGCAAGGGAGAAAGAGCGAGAGAGAGCGACAGTAGAACGTTGTAAAATGGTCTTAAGGTCGCGCGACGAAATACTTGAGGCCATATCGACCTCTTTACTTACACGCACACCGCGGCCGTATATACGAGTTGTGGCGAGTATTTTATCATTCCCGCCAGCAACGACGACGTCCTACTAGTCGTCGTCGTCGTCGTCGTCGTCGTGCCTCAAGGTGATAAGCATTTACTGCCCGCGCCGCGGCAAGTACAACACACAGGCGAGCACTGTAGCCGTAACACAAGGGGCTAGCCGCAGCGGTGCAGCTTCACGACTCCGGTAATTATTACTATTCCGACTGAGGCTTGTTCGCCAGACCGACAAAAGCCAAGGCTGTTTCACCTATACAATGCCGCCTTAGCGTGGCGGAGACGTCGTAATCACGCTGGAAAATTTACAGTAGGCGCGTCTTTAATGAACCTCCGAATAAAAAGACGCAACTGAAGAAGAAAAAAAGATGCAGTGACGTGGAACTATCGAAGCTGCGTGCTCGAGGCTGCGCATTATATGCGAAGAAAACTGTCGATGAGCAACGTATAAAAACGAGAAAGATATTTTGGCTTTATCGGGCCCACTAGAGGTTCGCCTATTCGATCGCTCGTGCCAAAGTAATTCAAGTAGTGGGATCGACGCTCGGTCAGACATCCATTTTTCAGAGCATTCTCGGTAACTCGAGCATTTTTTCCAACTAAGTTGCACTACAAAGATTCCGCGAGATGTTGCATTTTCTTTGAGCTTCTCGAAAATGTCAGCTGCCAGGCTATTGAATGGGCGCTGCGTCGAGCCACAAGGTCATAAATGCAGGCGCGGTACGGAGCATGAGTTAAGACGATCTTTATCAGTTTTCGGGAGCAAGCGGGAGGCCACTCGTTATGTGGTCGAGAATCAAAAACCGGTTGCTGCGATAAATTTCCCGATTATTAAGTGCACGAGATGAAGAAGCGAGCGAGAGAGTAAGGCTTCAGCCTCTGCCTTAATTGCGCGAGCAGCTCGCATAGAACGCGAGAACGCGAGATCGCGAGGCGTGATATATACAGGAAGCCTGTATATATCACACCTGAATTCTCGGCTGGAGAATCGATCAGGCACTTTCTCGATTAATTAACTTTAGCCCCCGCACGCTTTCGCAATTAAAAGTTTTGCGACGCGACGACCCTCCGTCCAAAATTCATAATAAATTCATAATGCCATAATGAGCTTGACACCTCCGCGACGAAACTGACGTCTCGGTATTACTGCGGCTAATGCGTGCGGCGCATTGGGCGCATTGCGATATAAATCAAATTTTAATTTCAATTAAAAGCGCGGCTTTGGCCTCCGCCACGTTCAGACCAATAGATTCCCAACGCAGATCTAAATATAAGCGAATTATAGCAGAAGCGAGCACATCTGACTAGTCTAAGTAATTAGACGTGGCATTTGGAATGGAAGTCCGAAGCTCGATACTCGCAGACGCGTCACTGGCGCGGAGCTTCTTATTATCTTATGGCAATGTCGCGAGGTCGCGAGGAGATGAGCAGCTGCGATCGCAGCTAAGTGCAGACTTAATGATAGGTAGCAAAGTGAAGTTGCTCCCGAGGAGAAGCGTTGCATTATCCGACGATCTATTATGCAAGCGTGAGTGGTTTACGCTTGGCGAAAGCTTACTTCCATCCATCCACGAACGTTGTTCTCGTCATCTCGGACAGAAATGCTTTCGTTGCTGAATAAGTGACAACAATAGTCGCCTGCAGCGGCAGTTGCGACTGCGAGTCGGAGATAACAGCAAAAAACGACAACGCAACAGCAGTCTGGCAGAGATAGCCCCGAAAGAGAACGACGCCGGGCGCGTGTGTATATCGAGCTCGTGCGCCACGGACGGACCTAGTTTACAAACTATTACGCGAGCCATTAATATTCAGTCGGCTCTTATCTAGCCGCGGCCTGACAAGAAAATGCATAATTTCGACGAGCCCCCAGTCTCGCGATGCGTGCCCACGTGTGTCTGTGTGCGCCTATCTCGCGCCATTTCCATTTGCCCTGGCCAATCTTGCGCTACTTCAACTTTGCATTTCCGTTTCTTCGCTGAGAGCAGCAGCTGGACCGCCGCTTCACTCTCCGACTGATGCGCGCGCGAGCTACAAATGCATGCGCAGCCTCGAGCCAAGAGCCGCCAATTTTCGATTGTCCATCCAGCCGACTGGTCGATCTGCGCGAGCAAACAGCGCAACTTGGTCCAATTCGCCCTTTCACTGCCGGGCCAAAGGTTTGCAGCCCCAATTCGCCGCAATTTTTAATCACACCGCTTGCCACGAGAAGTGCACAGTTTGGTTCACTGAAAAAAGAACCGTGTGGCCAAAGCGAATACAAATTGGTCGCTGAGTTTCGCTCGTCGCGCGCAGACGTGCTCCTCGTTCTTGGCGCACTTCTTACATCCTGTCGACAGGTAGCTTAAATTCGACTCGCGCGTCACCTCACCGAACGAACGCGCGGGAGAACGCGTGCACACGAACCCGCAGCTGCTGCCGTTGCTGCTGCCGCTTCGCTGGTGTCTTTGACGTCGTGGCCCACAGCGGAAGTCGGCCCGCGCCTCGAGGGAGCGGTCGTTTAATGAATATGCAAATCGCCTCACTCGCACATACGGGCCACCCTGGGAGATCCTTAAAGCTGCTAGCTGTTCTTTAACGCCCCTCCCCCCTCCGTCTTCTCTCTCGAGAGGGAGAACGTCGCACAAGGCAAACGAAATTCTTGGCACGAGGAAATTGCGAAAAGTCCTCTCTGCTGGCGATTCTGCGGAATCGACCTGGAAAAAAGAGCCGAAGGTTAATTGAAAAACGCAGCCCTTTGACAGATGGCGATCCTGTGACTATATAGTGCTCAATACTGCTCCGGATTCCCTCTTTGTAAGTGCCACCCGTCGAGCTAGCATTCCCATTCAATTTGCGGCTACAGATTGATTGTTCGACTTCAAATGGCACGCGATGAATGTTGTTTCGCTAGGATCTCGAGCTTTCTACGTGGCAGCGCACTCATCGGCTCTATAATTATACTTTTTCATCGATGGAGTCACTCATTGTACACATTGTGCATCCACGCGCTGATTAATGATTGACGGCTCGCTCTCTATACAGATCCATATCTCTATACAAGCCATTCTTGGACGACTCGCGAGATTTCTGAATGGCTATCCACAACTGGAGCTCAGACCCTCGATGCATTCATGAAACAGCTTATCAGTTATGCTTTGATAAGCAAATACCAACCGACTCGCAGTTTCGTTGCGTTATTAACTTTTTGTATCGCTTACCGCGACAGTATTTCGTTGCGATTCTCTAAACGCGCAATAAAACAGTCATTTTTTCGATCCAGATGTAGCGTACTCGTGAGCTTCGAAACCTTTGCAATGCAATACAATATTTAAAGCATCGAAATGATTTGTTACAGCTACGACATACGAAATAAGCACCCATCGAAAGCGCAACAGTGGATGTCGGACTATCTGAATCAACGAGCATTTTTTCAACCGAAGTCAGAGCCAGCGACACTCAACATCAACAACGTAGTAGAAAGCGACGAGGGGGAGTACAGGTGTCGTGTCGACTTTATGAAAAATCCTACGAGAAATTCCTGGGTACATCTAACCGTCATCAGTAAGTATCAATAGCAGCCATTGTCACATTAAAAAAAGTCATGGATGAATCAGTTTGATCTCGTAAAAGCTAGAAAAATAAATCTTGGCAAATTAGCGCGATGTAAGATTTTATGCGATCGTCTATAACGATGCCATTAGCTAGCGTGTCCAACGTATGCGTTTCGTTCGATCCATTAGAGGGTTCTGCGACGGAATGCCAGCCAGCTTGTCTCCTGCCATGTATATTGTGGAAAGAGAGGCCAAAGCAAAAGCAAAGGAGATCTCACGAACAAGTGATGCAAGAATCCTAGCTAGTCTGCCTTCGCTCTCTTTCTCGAGTGGCTCGAGCAAAGAAACGAAACGAGGTTAAAACGAGCGCTCGGCCGAAAGGACACGGCATACAAGTGTTGTTTTTCCACTTCTTTGACGCTCACATTGACCTCGTTGACGGCGCGTACTCGCAAAAATGGCATCGTTAGGAGGCAACACTGTCCATTGTGAACAGCGACCATCCAGAAGTACAGCGTTAATCGATGTTCGGAGCAGTATTAAAACTCAGTAGCTAGTAAAAATGATGGCAAGCAAGCGCAACAAAAATCCGCGGGATTTTTCACAGTCAAATTTCATGTCTTCCGGTTATAAGACGTTGTATTGTGTCTGGTACCCCCTGTGAATATTTCTTGTTTGCTCCTACTAGCAAGCTTTTCAAAAAGCTTTCATCACGATCGCATGATATGAGATTGAATTTTAATACTTGTGTTGTTATTTGCATTACTCGATATTGCATTCAAGACAGAAAATAATTGCATATCGTACTGCTTTCAGTTCCGCCGCATTTACCGAGGATCGAGAACGAAGCCGGTCAAATCGTCAAATCCGTAGCTGGACCCTACGTGGAAGGAGGCGATATGCGACTGAAGTGTATAGTAACCGGAGGTAAATTATTCATTTATGCGTCATTAACCATAATCATTAATAGTTGTCAACACGTTTTGATAGCCATACGCAGACGACTAATGTGTAACCGCGAAATCAATCGTAAATCCATCACATTAGTCTGGTACACGGTTGGGTTATTACAATTCGTGCGCGCACTTAATTATCGTTTTCATGCTCAACCTCGCCTCGCCGAGCTGTCGTCAATTTATCGTGTGAACCAACTGCGAAATCGATCGGCTTCTCTGAAAAAGCCCAGATCTACTTGAGCGTGTCGCTTCTGCTTCAAAGTGCAGATTAATTGCTCCAATTTTCTTGACACCTACAAGCCAAAGCCGCCTTTGTGTTCTGGTCATTTGAAAACATCTGGACAAATATTAGAACATGCGCAATCGTCGCGAGACCTGTACTTAGAACGCCTTCGAACGCTTTCTCATGAGAATTCCTGCGATTTCAAAATTCCACGCTTAGATCAATTTGAAAACACATTAATTCAATAGGCTATACTAGTTGAATTTGCGGCTGGCAACTACCGAGTGTGTGTGTGTATACGAGTAGCGCAAAATCGATGCGACCACGAAAAAGTGTCGGTTGCGCGGGCCGTTTATTGTTATCGGAGAGGGGGTCGCATGTGTGACGTGCGCACACTATTAGCGCGCTTGTCGTCGAGTCTATTCCGCATCCTTTATACCAGCCTATAATAGCGTGTTTTTAAAAAAAAGCTGGGCAACCTTATGGCCTATTGAAACATAACACGACGTTGAGGTCTGACTGCGAGACGATCGCGACTATTGTCAATTAGAATTTCAAACTTTGTTTTCCAATTAAGGTATTTCCTGCGCATAGCAGACCTCTTGCCGCTCACTTTGACTTAGTCATCTTGGCGCTTGTCTTTTTATCGACCACGCAATATTGAATTTCGTTGATGAGAGTAAATATCTGTAAAATGAAATGAAACGGCGAAGGAGGGTAATACGAGTAAACACGTTGCTCTACACATCGAGCAAGAGAAACGGAAAAAGAGAGAACCGTGAAGACGGAAGAAAAAGCCAGTGGAAACAAACAAGAGGATAGGAGAGAGAGCGAGAATAGGGGGGGGGGGGCGGAAATAGAAAACCGATAGCGTCGGCACTATATATCATAGCTTTTCTCCGTCACTATTCTTTTGCTCGCTCACGCTCGAGCACTCAGCTTTTATTTTGCTCGTTTTCGTCGCACGGTAGCTCGCGTCGCGTCTATCTCCTCCGGGGATTATCCGCACGCAACGTCCATTATGAATTATGAATGAACGTATTTATACTATAGAGAAGGCGAAGGCGAAGAGAAAGGAAAATAGATGAGGCGAGTGATTATCGCTTCATCGTTGGTGATGCCCTCTCGGCAAAGGACGCACTAATAATCTCAAATACTTAGCTACTCCGACTTAATTAAATCGACACTTGTCTGCGCTCTTTCATTTTTTTCCGTGTCATTGCCTACCTCGCTCATGTTTATCCTTTTGTTCGGCGTGACGAGTCTATCTTTGAAAGTGATGCGTAATGTGCTTTTCAAAGATTAAAGCCGGCAAATGGGCTCGTTGATCTGGCTGTTCTTCGTAAAATAAGCAAAACTGCCGGTACGCACAAATAAAAGCATAAGAAAACCAACGCAAAGCTTCAAGTGCGCGCACACATTAAGCTAATTGTATTGTTGCCGCGACTGAAAAACCTGCTCAACGTTTTATTACAACGTAAAACTGAAATCTTTCATTGTACTCGCCTTAAATGTTCTCGGTATTCAACCTCAAAATGATTCGTGGATCAGCCAACGATTTTTCGATGGTATCGCCCAAACGTATATTATTTGCAATGATATGCAATTGAAGGATGACTTTCGCTCTGATTTCAGGCCGACCACAGCCAACGTTACGTTGGTGGCGACGCGAAACGCTGCTAGATGGCAAGGACGGCCCAGGCGACTCGCTGTCGGTCAAGAGTAACACGCTGGTCGTGAGAAATCTTGACAGGTCGGATCTGCACGCCGTGTTCACGTGTCAAGCGTCCAACAACAACATCAGTCTGCCCGTCTCGGCCTCGGTGGCCATCGAGATGCACTGTAAGTATCTTGCTCTTGTTTATCCTCTCGCCACATTGAATCGATCAATTGTAACTTCAAAGACAATTACAGAGCATTAAACAGCATCGGCTTAGCTGTTGACGCGTAGCACTCGAAATAAGCCTGACTTTTTGACGTGCGCTCACCGCTCGCTGCTCGCCGCACGCACGAGCCCGAGACGGAGAGAGGAACTGGCTCGTAAATTAAGAACGCGGCTCGGTTGAGATTTTTATAGCCAGTGGCCGCGCATGGCCTATGCTTAGTGGATAAGACTCTACTGGAAGATTTATTTAGCGCGAAGGCCACGGATAAGCATATTAATGTTGCGACAATAATAGTCGTAGTAAATCTAATTAAGCAACCGCAAGAGAAAAACAGGAGTGGAAAACAGAAGGAAACAGGAGCGAAAAAAGTCTGTTGCTTCAATAGCTAGGAGCTCGACGGCAAAAAATAGCCCCGAGAGAGAGAGAGAGAGAGAGAGAGAGAGAGAGATGCTGCACAAAGCTACTCTCATTCATTAGCCAGCGCGCGAGGCTCGAGGCTAAACGAGGCAGCGAGGGCTAATCGCGTCGGAAGCTAGAGCCAGCGTTGTGAGCCGAGTGGCTGCGGACCGATTTGCCGATCATCGCTGGCGACCGTTGAAAAGCGGCACTTGCACAGCTCTTCACTTGCCACTCATTTCCCGGCAGCTTTTCGCACCTCCGCACTCTCTTTGACAGCTTAAACGCGCTCTCGCATACATCAGCGCTGATTCGGCATGCACGTCTTTGTCGTCGCTAAACCCCAAAGGATATTCACTCACCTCGGCTCTGTGTACCTAAGCACCAAAGCACCAAATGATTGGAAGCTCGCATCCTGTACGTACATCGACTTGCCGACCACATTCGACTTGTCGAAGGGCCGGGCAAGCATCCCCCGTGGCGTTGACTGATGTCTGATTATGGCTGCCCACCTTGATCCTAATTGATGTCCATCCTCTTTACCAGCCAATACCTCGGTCCGTCTAGGGAGGACGCGCGGCGTGCGATCTATCGAGCGGAACGAGGAGCAGTAAGGAGAGCGCGAGCACGATAAATTTTCAAATGACCCTTGCCGACCCCGCGTACGCGCGCATAATCAGCGCTATGCACGGCGCGCGATTCCATATCGTTCGACCACATCTCGCGATCTTCGGGCTGAAAGCTGATCGCCCGCTAACGAAGATCAAAGTATACGAGCGTTAGTATGTTAGCGCAGAGAAACAGCGCATCCTCGTTCGCTTATTTGGCTTTTCGAGCTTTCGCACATAAACAAACTAGCCCGTAGAGTTCCTATCCAAGTTCCGACGCAGCTCCAATTCAAATTCGCAAAATTAACACTCCCTATGCCAACAAAAAGAAAAGAACTGTGACGATGAAAACCTAGCTTTCAATGTATCAGAAAAGCAAAATACATTTTCTTCCGCATTCGATTTTCTAAGGAATTGCATAACCGCGGCTGTATCTCGCGATAGAGAACACGCGAGAGCTCACATCGTTGATCGACGTTCCGAGTTGGCACGCCGAGGTGCTGAAAATTTGCGGCATCAAAATATAAGGAAGAAACATCAGATACGAGAATAATAAAGCAATACGCAGCAAAAAGAACGGTAGTAAGCAGCCGAGTGTTGCGATTATGACGGCGCGTATACGCATAAAATTACAACGCACAAATGTTCCCCGAGCGAACGAGCGACTAGGTTGCGCACTGATATCGCTCGTACTCTTATCAGCAGCACCGAGCGCGAAAGCACCACTGCAACATCGTTTACGAGCTCCGCACACAAGCTTAGAGTGGCCATGGACAAATCGTTATAGGCGCCAGGTCATCTGTTGGTCGGCCGCCTTTCATCTGGCAGCTCGAGCTTGACTCGATAATCGATTTCCGCCACTGAGAGCCGACTGCAGCAACACGTACTCGTGCTTTGTTCGTTTCAAGTTGGAAAGGTCGGAAGGGAAAGGCGACGCTGAGCTGCTTCCGGCGACCAAAGAGGTCGCTCTCGCGCTCGGCGTGCGCACATCTCCGGAGAAATCAAGGCGGCCAGTGCGGTGTCTCGTTCTGCCTGATACGAATTGAAGCCTCGACGAGTCTGGCGAGTTATTTAATTAAGCTGCGTCGTTCCCTTCCACGGCCGGCCCCTTTGACGAGGCAGCTAACGAGCTTGCGGCTGCTCTCAACGGCGCGGCTCGCAGCACTAACGGGACAAATCCGCCTAGCTGCGCAGCATGTATGGTGTGCATGGCTGATCGATAATTCCAAACTCGGCCGACACGAGGCCGACACGAGGCCAACACGAGGCCGACTCGGCCCGATTTCTCACCCTCAGCGACAAGGAAGAAAATTCTTGGCGGACCGCGCACCACCGAGAAATTGAATAAAGTTCCGGCGGCCCGCGAAGCCATCGATCGCGCGCAAGCGAGCCGAGGCGGGAATCTAAATTAATCATGGCGCAAACGATCGGATGAGAAACGAGGAGGAAAATTGGCAAGATAAGGAAGATGATATCGCGACGTCCCGGCGAGGATGGCAAACGAGAAAGTAAAGAGGCGAAAAAGCTCGGAGCGCTCGCTCGCCAAGTCGCGCGCCAAGTCGCTCACCTAAAAAAGAGGAGCTTCAGCGTGGCGTTGCATAGCACGAGGATCGGGCGTAAAAACTAATGGAGCAAGGACGACGGTACTTTCGTTTTCTTAATCTCGCTTGGCTCTTCTCCGGGAATCCGGGCGCGCCACGGCAATCGAAGAAGATCGCCCAATGAAGCGGTTCCCTAGAGGTGCCGAGGACCGACGCTCAAGAGGACCTCAAGAGCGACGAATAAGCAGAAACGATAATCGCCCGATGGGGAGATTATTAGGCCGAGAGAGCGAGCAAGCAGCGAGGATTGAATTGAGCTGGCGCCCACCAGCAGCCCTCCTTCCTAATCGAGCCTGACTAATTAGAGGCCAGTTTAGGCCAGTTCAGGCCAGTTTAGGCCAGTATCCCGGTTATGGACTCGCTCTTATGCCAAACCATCCTATGGGTCTGATTTACTCCCCGTAACACGGCTAGCCAGTTGCTCATTTGCGCTTATCATCCCCTTGTCACGCCCACCCATTCGCTAACATGCTACGTTTATTCTCTTAATAAGCTACTCAGCTCTTCTCGCCATTGTCCGACAGTCTGACTTTCCTCTCAAGCAAAGCCAAACTAATTGAACGTCTATATTAAAAGCTTCAATGTTCGAACAACTATGCAAGAGTTCAATGCTTTCTCCATTACATTAATGATTTTCTAATTTCCTTGCTCCGTGGCCTTGCCGAATAGTTCACGCTAATCCATTCAATGCAGTGGCTCGTTCAAACTCCGGCATATATTAAAACAACCAACGACTGACGTAATGCAATAACTATTTACTAATATGTCTATAATCTGTAATCACATAAAGACATTGTTAAGGGGACCAGCCGGTGTTCATCGAGAACACAAGAAATTCTCGTTATTGTCGTCTAAAAACCATTGTAACGAAGATATTTTAAGGTGATCGGTTCAAACCTTCGTTTTCCTTGTCGTAAGTCCAACATCTTATTTATTCAAAAAATGTAGTTCGTCACCCTTTTCTTAGTGTCGGAAATGTTCGAAAATCACTTGCTTCATCGTGATTTTTTCAAAAATTGTCATAAAAAACTTTGAAATTTTAAAACCCTTGAGCAATTACGAAGAATGAAAGTTTCAATAAATCAACAAAAACTAATTATAAAATTGATTGGACGAAACAAGGATCAGGTAAACGAAAAGAAAACGATAGGATTAGATCGAGAAAATCTGGCGAGAAAGAAAAACAATGTTAAGATTTGTTTGGTAGTATTGTTCGATTGGTCTCGCGATTCATTTATTTTGAAGAAAGGAAGGAAATGCTCGAACGAACGGGAGGTCCGAAGACAAAAGAAGTCGTGGGAAATTGGAAAGTCTGGAGAGGGAGTAAACTCGACTGGGAAAATAGAAATAAAAATAAAAAAAACGGAAGAGAGAGAGAGAGAGAGAGAGAGAGAGAGAGAGAGCAATAAATAGCGACGCTCAATAGAAAAGCAGATGGGAAGCGATAGAAAGAGAAGACCTTGCGGCTCGAAGAAAGGGAATAACGACGCAGTAGGCTGGAGCAGAGTCGCGGGCACAGAAAGCCAAATGATTTGGAAGCGCTAGGTTCCAAAAGCAGAGAATGCGAAAGGCTAGAAGAGAATAAGGTAGAATCCAAGGTAGATGCGAGGGGTGTAGGAGCTGCAGCCTCGAGGCTGAGTCAGCAAAGACACTGGCACTGGCTCTTTTGAACCACCGTGAAGAGGCCTCTCAGACTCCAGCTTGATGGTGACCTACGTCGCGTCGCGGAGTGGGCCCACAACAAGGCGCTTTATTTCTGCCAGTCGCTGCCACATCGGTCGACGAGCCCAACACACTCAACGCGCACCCCCAGCCTGTTATTCTTCTGTAGCACGCGCCTTTGTTCAGTCGACCGTTACTCTCGAGCGAACTTGTCGCCGCCGCTTCGCGCGTTGCCCTGTCTGCTTTTATCACAGAATCACAGAGGAGACTTGTCCTCGAAGAATTTTCGCTGGATCCGTGTGTATCAACGGCAAAGCACAGCGCGTCTACTCGACGCGTAAAGAGGCAGTTGGAATCTCGTTAGCGTTCGTTACTATTGAAGGCCCGTAAGCCGATAAACCATATATAGATCCGTGGAGGACTGATTAACGCTGTTTTTTCTCTCTTAGAACTGATAATCCTCGTTTCGCTACTACAATGGATTTATACGGGAGAGAGCTTGCAGCAAAGCAAACAAGTCGGTAATAACCAAGCTCACTCGAAGTTAATCCCGGCTCACGTGCATACGCTGCGAAGCCCCCTGAACGCGCTCCCGGTGTATTTTCAATTCTCCATAGCAGTAAGTTCTCTTGAGCCGATCCGTATATTACTGCCTCGGGACTTTATCCTCGAAGCTTCCTGTTCTTGTTGTTGTTTTTTTATTTCCACTTGTTTTCCGAAAATCGAAGCTTTTCAATTCCCAACCCAACCCAACCCAACCCAACCCCAACTCCTCGAGCGCATCATTCTAGCGCCAATACAGACCTACTAATCGATATTCAGAGCTCAACTATTGACGCAATACTACGGCGATAAACGTTGATGGTTTCTCTGGGCTGCGACCGTGCAGCTCGTGCCACGATAACTTCATTATTTCGGTACGTTTGATGATTTATGAGTTTCGGAAAGCGAGTCTCCATCAATGTCAGTCACGGTATCAAATGTATTTGTCATGTAACTGCAAATCAACCTCTTCGCTCGATTTATTCTCGCGGCCTGCACGTACTCGCGCGACACACTCTCGAGACCGATGTATCTGATTAAGCATATACTTTTCATTACTGGAGTCCCCTGGCAATCGATCAACTCGATCGAGAAAAACAAACAAATTATCAAGAAAGCCATGACTATTTTAAATGTTACTCGTTGAATACCGCGGCCTTCGATAGTAATTATCGGCTAACAAGGGAATAGCACCCTGCGGGTGTTGTTGGGAATAATTCAAGGAAAACTTGGCTGGAATAAAAGAAACAGGAAATCATTGGGTCGGCGAAGCAAACAAGAGTTTTACGAATGCCAAGGCCTTTAAGGTTCGCCGCGCATTTACATATATATAGATAGTCCAGTGCCAAGAAGAGGAATAAAAGAAAGGACGAGTAAGTAAAAGCCGACTAGAAAGAGAGAAGGAGGAAAGGCCACAGAAAGCGCGGAAAATTTTTCATTGGGAGTCGAAAGTTCGAAGCTCGGAAAGTTTAATTCCGAGCCCTCACTTGGAAAGCTCGATGCTGCTTGAATGGAGAATCTTGCAACTCCTTTTCATGCCAGCCGCTCCTGCACGCCCAGCACACAGCTGTCCTCGTTCTTTCTCCTTTTTTTCTTTCTTTGCTCTTCATTGACTTGCCAGCAACACACAATAGGGCACACCTGAGCACCTGATTCGTTTGATCTTGTGCAAATTTCCTCGTGGACTCGTGGCGATGACAATGTGAAATTCAAATGTCAGCACGACGATTAATACATCATACTGTCAGTGATACAATCAGGAGGATCGTAAAGATTAGACGTGAAGTATGTACGTTATTCAGCGCGTATAGTACTTAGCCGAGTTTAAACTAGCCGAGAATTAGCATGATCGCCGAGCTTATCAGATCGAAAATATCGCGGCTGAGCTCTCCTGCTCTCTTCCCTCGGCGTATCGCTGAGATCTGTTCGCGTCTACAGTTTAATTTGTCCGAAGGCAAATCGGTCGAAAATCCAGTTGTATTTGAACGAAGCAATATTAACAATAGGCTGTTGGGTCTGTTACAGTGCGTCCGCTGAACGTGACAATATTGACGAGCGAGGACGCGCCGCTGAGCGCCGGCCGCAAGTACGAAATCAACTGCATGAGCGTGGGCTCGCGACCGCCTGCCAAGCTCACCTGGTACATGGAGGGCCAACTGCTCAGCAACTACACGGAAAAGGTGAGCTATGTCGTCGCTGTAAAATAAAAACGCTCGGCCTTTGAGCCGAGCAGTGATGCTCGTCTCCGCGTCTGCGCGAGCCCCTCTCCGTCCTGTTTGTTATTATTTTAATACACCACTTGCAAGTGGCGGCGACCCCCTGAAATTAAAAAATATCATCAGCTGGTCAATATCCGCAGCGCCAGCTCGTTTTGTCGGTCTTTGCTCTGCTCTTTTCTTCGTTAATTAAGCGGCGAGCTGCTCCCGCCGGAGAGCGAATAAATGAGGTGTCTCGTCATACGGAGATGAAACAAAAGAAGGTTAAGAGAATGGGCAGCAAGAAAAATTGGAGGAAATTTAAAGAAACGAGGAATTAGCGAGAGAAAAAAGGCACGTCCTCGGCACGGATAATAAGATTCAAAGAGTGAGAAAGAAAGACATTTCAGCAGTGAATTAACGTTAAGTGATGAGACAAAGGGAGAGAGATGTTGTGGCCTCGTTTTCTATCTCGTTCGCTCGGCCTCTCTCCCCTGTCTACTTTTCATTAATCGCGAGATTAAAACAGGCGCCCTGTACGCCAAGGGACGAGCGTTTCACGTAATAAAGCCGAGCGAGACTGAGAGAGGGAGTAAGCGCTCAGGCATTAGGTGATAAAAGCCCGCGACGGCGCCAGCAGGATTCTTCCCGAGCTGTTACCGAAAATTAAACCCTCCGCGCGCGGCCGTGCGCCGACTGTTTAATGGCAAGCTCTAGCTGCTTGCGTAAAGGTCAAGATTGATTATGACTCGCGAGCCCTTCGCTCGATCGCGATCGCTACTTCCCATCCTTATTTTTCTCCGGCTAGAAAGCCGAAGAAAAATAAGTTTCCATTCGTTCGTTAAAATTCACGCATTCGCCATTGAACGCTGGCTCCTTTCGGCGGCAACATTAGCAGCGCGCCCAAGCGCCAGCGCTATCGCTATTTACATCCTCGAACATTAGCGCGCACGCCATGTGGCAATTAGCCCGCGGAGAGCCGATGTTTTCGCGATCTGTGCATCTGTGCTCCCCATATAGTAGCCTCGCCTCTGATGCGAGCCGATCGCCACGGATAACGCCAATTCCCTTTTCGCCTTTCCTTTTTTCCTCCTTTTTTCCTCCTTTTTTCCTCGTTCCTGCTCCCTTTTGCCGCCGCTCGGCCGATGCCCGACGACGATCGCGTGATTCACCAGACGCGGAGGAAACCACCAGAACAAGACGCCTCGGCGCGCACTACGAGCGGCTCTTCGTTATTGACAAATCAAAGTACTCGAGTCGGCGCTCGGCTGCAATTGCACGCATCGATCGCTCCTCAAGGCAGCAGCCAGCACGGAACGGAACTACTGGAATTACTCGCAATCGGACAAGCGACGGACGGCCTAACGCCAAATCGAAACCGCGAGCGACCGAACGGCCGCGCGGATGATCGCAGCGAGCGCGGCGGTCGCATTCCGTCAAAGATCGCGCGGTGCAAATAGCTCGATGCGGCCAGAAGTGCAGGCGCCAACAGCGGCAGCGACAGGCAGAAAGATAGCCGTGACGCGCGCCAGCGATGTCGCGCTCGGCACCGGCGATCGACATTCTCGCAGTACATCACGCGCCAACCGCAGATGAAGTCGGCGCGCATACCTCGCTCTCGAATTCTACACGCCCAGGCCCGAGCTCGTGTTTGGGCGCTGCCGCAGCGACAGGGCCGGAGGCGCGGAATGTGTGCGCACTTGGTCCGCTTCTCGGCAGGCGCCGTATAACGGATGACGCGCTCACGGCGAATTCGCGGGACTCGTACCGTTCTTTCTCGACTCGACGGCTCGACTCGGCAGCCCAGTTAGGCGGTATTACTCGCCAGGTTCGTCCGACTCGTCTGACTGCAGAGCTCGGCTGGTCCAACACTTGCAGACTCGCCTCGCTGACTTTCTAATTAAATTGTCTTCGCGCTCGACGTAGTCGGGACATCGCTTGGCCCTTTAAAGGCTAACGCCACCTATTTCCGCAGACGCACACGCGAGTATTGAATCGGCCTTGTGCAGCCGCTAACGAGTGCCAGCGCCGACCCAGTCGCTAATGAAGTCGCTACGTTTTTTCGTTGTTTTTCTACTCGCCATCTCTTCTGCTCGTGCTCCCTTGCCCAATGGACTGAATTTGAATTTTCAGCGCTACTCTCTATCACTTAGACATAGTTGATTTTTGAACGAACGATAAGCAGGCCAACAAGACTCGCAATAATACGCTCCCATTGGACTGCATTTCAGGTATCGCCGGATGGAAATATGACATCTTCGATTCTGACGTTCGTGCCGTCGCTGCACGACAATGGCAAGCTAATTACGTGTCGAGCCGAGAATACCTACATCGCAGGAGCCGTCGAGGAGGACACGCTGAGGCTCAACGTTTACTGTGAGCTCGCGCATTAATCGTCTATATTCCGTTTGCCCGTATTGCAATGTATTTCCTAGCTCGAGCAACAGACAAAACCATCGAGAAATTGCGCGAGCGCGAATCGCAGTCAAACTAAAGGAAGCTTTTGCTCTGTTGAAATAGATGTTCCAATGCTCAACCTGAAGCTTGGCTCCAACATGAACCCCGACGACATCGAGGAGAACGACGACGTATACTTCGAATGCGAGGTAGACGCCAATCCCGGAGCGTACAAAGTCATCTGGAAGCACAATGTAAGTTTCCGGGGCGAAAGCGCGCCCAATTCATTGGAAAACTAAGCGCATTTGCCTTTACCTTTGACGAGGCTCTAATTTCTCGGGCGTTGTCGGTCGCAAGCTATCAGAGCGCATTCCTCGACTCCGTTTGCTCTCCCGTTTGCTCTCCCGTTTGCTCTCCGACGAAAGTACGGACCTCTCGACGTGCACGCGTTCGCTACAGAACCCGGTCTTATCGTACAGTCGCTGGAATCCGCGAGTGCGCTCGAGTACGCTTCAGCCAGGCCGACATAAGGAGACGAATATTCACGCGCAACTGATCTCCGTCCGGGGGCGCACCCTCTTCTTCGTAATGCCGCGGAGCTTTCCTCGAAAATCTCAAGATGTGACTTTGCGTGTTGGGCGTAGGGCAACGTGCTGCAGAACAACGCCAAGCTGGGAATGATAGTGCAGCAGACGAGCCTAGCGCTGCGCAAGGTCAGTCGTTCGCAGTCGGGCAACTACACCTGCATCGCCAGCAACGTCGAGGGTGACGGCATCAGTAACAACGTCGAGCTCAAGATAATGTGTGAGTATAGCGCAGCTCCCCTCTCAGCGCGCTCGCTCACGTGGGTCCGATTCTCGCGTGCCGACAGACAAGCCGATCTGCCTGCCCGAGCAGAAGCGAGTGTACGGGGTCGCGCGACACGAGGAGGCGCGAGTGATCTGCAGGGTGGAGGCCTACCCGGAGCCGGACAGCTTTCGCTGGACGTTCAACAACACCGAGGAGATGAGCGAGGTGCCGCAAGCGCGCTACAAGGACTCGAAGCACCAAGCTCAGAGCGTGCTTACGTACAAGCCCGTCAACGAAATGGATTACGGCACCGTGCTCTGCTGGGCGAACAACCAAGTCGGCCAGCAGAAAAGCCCTTGCGCCTTCCACATTATCGCCGCAGGTAAGACTGACGTCGCGTCAACCCCGATGCCTTGAGTCGCCTCGGCGAGTGTCGCTTAATGAAGTCGCGCCGCGTTCGCCTCGTTCAATGCTGCGTATGTGCGCGCCGTAGCTACTCCGCGCAGCACTTTGCGGGCTAACGAGCACTTGCCGCGGCTGGCTCGACGAGCCTCTGCCAAGGCTGCGTCGACAACCACGCGAGCCGCTCGCTCCTTTGCCATCGCAGTCGTCGTCTCATTGCTCTCGCGTTATTACCGCATTCTAACTCGGCTTACTTTAACGACGGCAGAGATCAAAGCCTCCCGTTGTAAAACAGCCTGCACGTTAATTATCGCGATCACCTAAGTGCTTCTCGCGCGAACTCGAACCTCGAGTAGATTGTTCGGGTTGAGTGCATCGACGCCGATGCACTCCTCGTTGATGCAGGCTGCTCCAATTTGGAAGTCTGCCGGCTGATAATTCCGCTAATAGCCCCGGCTATGCCGCCTCGCTCGCTTCGTAGCGCTCAGGTTACAAATGAATCGCCCGTCGACAGGTAAACCCGAGCCACCGTACAATTGCACACTGGCCAACCAAACGACGCAGTCGCTGTCGGTCGAGTGCACGCCGGGCTTCGACGGCGGCCAAACTCAACACTTCCAGCTCGAGGTCTACGACCAACTGACGGGGCAGCTTCGAGCGAACCTGAGTTCGCGCGACAGCGCCACTTTCAACGTGCACGAGCTCGAGTCTGGACGTATACTGCGTATGGCCGTCTATGCGGTCAATTCCAAGGGCCGCAGCGAGTCAATCCTCCTCGAGGGATTCACCCTGAAAGTCGCTGAAAAGCAGACTGGTGAGTCTCTCAGCTTTCGTAAGTGCACATTTCATACCTTTACTCGGCTCCTTGATCATTTTTTTCATTGGTCTCGTCGCGCTTTTCGCCAGTTGAAACATCCAGTTGGCACTTTGCGAGATGACACTGTGCTCTCACAGAGCGTCCATCCAGCAGAAAGTTCAAACATTTGCTTTACACAGGGAATTGAGAAAAAGAGAAGGAGTTAGAGCTGTGTAACTTACACGTGCTGCTGTTAAATGTCCTGGAATCTTACATAAATCTAGAGCGCTTCTGCCGCGTGTGCTACGCGACTTGTTCAGCCCGCGCGCCTTTACGGCAAATGCCACCGAGCAAATTTATTGGCTCGTTATTCCAGTTGTTTTTATTGGCCAAGGTCGTCTAATTGAAACCGAACCCATACTCAAACGATTGCGAGCTATTCCACTGGACGACTCTGCTGGTCCAATTCAATTAAATGGATGATCAATCCATTCGGACGTATCGCGACGAAAAGCTTCGTTAGCCACCTTCGTCCTCTCTACGCCCAGTGGATATTCAAAATTCTAGCCGTAAGCATTTCCTTGCAATAAGCAGCAATGGACGAAATCGTGGCAACAGCAACGACAACCATTCGAGCGTATCCATTGTCAGAACAAATCAGTTGGTATCGTCATTCGAGCGTAGAGTGGTGCTCATCTTTTTTTCAGAGTGAAAAAAAGTGGCTGGAATCGCGTACAAGAACAAAACCAAGCATCTCACCTACATGCTGGACAAAGGGAAAAGTGAGCTACCAATGTAGTTCGCATCCGTCCCGGCGTGGCAGCGAACGAACAAAATACGTGTCTGAAATTTAATAATCTAGTCGAAAAGCAGCTCGGAGTGCATCGCACACTCGGCAATTGGTAGAAGCCAGAACATTTGCAACGGGAGCTATTTCATAATATAAAAGTGCGAAAGTTCGAAACCTTAATGAATATCGGCATTCGAAGGACTTCCCTGGGCAGGACGAAGCTCGTTAATATGCAAGTGCTCGAGACAGAAAAATCGCGAGCTCGGGTGCGCGCGCACGACAGAGAAATAGAGACGAGAGGGAATATTTAAGTGGACGCGTTCTTAGAGCACTCGAGTGCGCAGTTGCAAACGAGCTTACAAGAGAGCGAGAGAGAGAGAGAGAGAGAGAGAGAGAGAGAGCGGGCGCGAAAGGGGCGGGAATGAGAGAGAGAGAGAGAGAGAGAGAGAGATCTGAATCAGAGTTATTAAGAGGGATATATGCGAGAGAGCGCTGGATTATCCGCGCGACTCTCTAATCTGCATACGTCGAAATAAATTCGCGCGCGCATAATTTCGTCGGTTCCGGCAATTTATGAAGCGCTTGGAAGCGTGCGCGCACACGGCTACGGCGCAAAAGAGAGAGATACGTCGGTTATTTATCGCGACGATTGATTTCCCACCGCTGAGATTTACACGCTGGCACAGTGTCACCTGGCAACTAATTGAAGCGCGTAATTGAGCCAACTGTTTGTTCTTATCGCGTGGCATATATATCATCGTCGCAATATCGATGTGTTGGCACTCGATTGAGTAACGCACGTACGTAGTGCGCGTGCTGTTCACAGGGACCCCTGTGCCTTTCGAGATAACGCCTTTGCTTGGGATCCTCATAGGGGTCGTTGTGGCCCTGTTGCTGTGCACGGTCACGGTGCTGCTGGCGCTGAAGGTGCGCAGCGACAGGAGGGCGCAGAGGCCCGGTGACTTGCCGCTGAAGAAAGCCACCGCGCCAAGTTCAGAAGACCTGTACGATCCCGACGACCGCAATCCTGATGTCATTCCTACCAATAAAGGTCAGTCGTCAGTCGCATTCAAACTTTATAGGTATTTGCTTTGGACAACGTAGCACTTTAATGTCAACAACTCAAGAGGGCTTTTGCATTTTAGCATCGCCCGACCTTGCATCTGCATTTTTCGAACAAAATCTTAACTTATTGTTCGACGCTTTCCTCGGTAGATTCGGACTATCAGTTGACGGGCTCAATGGCTGGCACGCCGCTTGTGGTGCAGGGCACTCCGGACGGGCTGTCAACGACGTCACTGCCAACGAATGGCCAAACGGCAGCGACGACAACGACGGCAACGATGACAGCTACGACGGCGGCGGCGGCAGCGGCAGTGACGGCAGCAGTGGCGCAACAGCAGCAGCAGCAGCAGCAGCAGCAGCAACAACAACAACAACAACACCAGCAGTCCATACCAACATCGATGCCGGTCGCGAATCACCTGCCGAGCTACTCGCTGAACGACTACAACAATTACCCAACGCTGACGGTAAGCTCCTCGAGTTCGAGCTGCAACGCTCGCGAGCAACGATCGATCCCTCCCGAAAGCCTCGCATCTTCTTGTTCTCGCTCCCCATCGACTTGGCTAACTTTCGGTCAATTAGTTCCACAACGGAGCACCCGCAACACACATCCTCCGCAGCCATCTCTCGCGCGTTTTCATGCTTTAGCGAATCGCGTTAGAGGGGCCAGCTGGTGTTAACCAGTGAAAATTATAAGTCTTCCTTACTGTGCTGTAAAAAGCAATCTTTTAAAGTTATCATCATCAACACTTTGTCAGTATCAAATATTCGATAAATCTTCTTTTTAAGTCCGTTTAATCGTAACACCCAATCGTAATGCTAATTTCAGTTACCAGTTCTCATATAGAAATGGTAAAATTGGTTCTTTCGAAATATCCTTCACTTAATCTGGAGTACTAATCCGTAGGAAGATAACGAGCCGTCCAAAAATGATTTTCGTGTACTATAACGATCAGAAAACCATGGTAAATCAGTTTTTTCCTGCAAATATATTCTAGGGTATAAAATTGAGATTTTGGGACATGAAAAGAGAAAAAGTGAAGGGATTTAGCGGGTACTTCGAAATGGAAAACGTTCACGATGATAACTTTAGTAGCACAATAGATTTTTCAGCGGAATAAAAAAAACTTATGATTGATTGAAGCGTGTCGAGCTTAGAGCTGCCAGATGGCAATGATCCCGTAAAAGCCGGAGATACGCGTGATACGCGTGAATTGTGCAGCGTCGAAGGAAAAGTGGTCACGTAGACCGGTGCCTTGGTGCCTACTTAAATGCATAACGGACGCTGGACGTTGACTGGCGCACGTGTGAGTAGCGGCTTCGATAATTCCGTCGGCGCGAAGAAAAGAACTAATTGCATTGGATTCGCTGGGAAAGGCGGCTCTTGGAGAATCCAGCGCGGGCCGCTCTCTCGTGAGCGAGAGAGAAAATTGCATCGGAGACAATTTGAGCGCGGCGCGCTGCTGCTCCCGCGAGACAATTCGAGCGCGCGCTAATGCAATCCGCAAGTTAGAGAAGCGAGCGAGCAACGCCCGAGGTGTTGGCCGCCGATAATTATTTGGGCTATTTGCCTAACCCAAATAAAAGGTTAAATACGCAGAGAACGTGCCCAAACCGAGAGAAGCTTGAGAATTTTAAGCTCGGATTTGGCACACTACAGGCCAAGAAGCTATATCGATTTCCGCTTAATGACTGTGGGCAAATTTAACCGTTCGCGAGAGTGAGGCAAGCCGCTTGCCGCCGCTTGCCGCCGCTTGCCGCCGCTTGCCGCCGCTTACCGCCGCTTACCGGCGCTTGCCGTCGCTTGCCGTCGCTTGCCGTCGCTTGCCGTCGCGCCGAGACACCGCGAAATTTTCTTCCGGCGACCGAGCAACTTAGTCTCGCGTTTGCGGCAGGGGGACCGCCGAGGACTAAGCTTTTTCGAAAATAGCACGCCAATCGTTTACGTGCTCCAGTCGTAAGATCGCTGTCTAACTTTCCTAATTTTCCACCTGACATTACTTTCCGAACTTGTTTGCGGCTCTTCTAAGCAGATTCTTTCATCTTTTAGCGCTTCACTTTTGCTTGTATTATCTAATTGGCTCGGTAAAGCGTTGAAGGTTTTGCTGCTGCACTCGCAGTATAGAAGAAAAATCACTAGCTCAAATCTATTGCACGTTAACTTCCTTCGAAGGATATTATTATCGATATTATTACGTTTGCTTTTCACTTGTTGCTGCTGTCGTTTGTACATTCGATCGAGTAGCGTTTCTTTGACGAATAAAAGCGTAGTACTCCTTATTTTTTCACTCGTTCGTTCGCTGGTTTAACTTTAATGAATGTAATCGTTTGACTCCGAAATACATCGAGTAGAATGAAGCCTGATCAAAAGAAAGTTATGAATTGTCCAATTCCCGTTAATTAGAGAGTTTCTATGTTAATTCGCTTGCGGAGTCCCAGCAAAAGAAACTTGGAATAGCCGTACAATTCGTTCTACCATAATCGATTGCATAACTCGTAAACGAAAGCACTCTTGTTCGCAGTGTCTTGCAGTGTCGTAGGAACAATCCTAGAAGTTTCCGAGGACAAGGATAGTTCGAACGCAGCGTCATTTGGCACTGAGCAGAGAAAAAAGATAAATCTGCCTCGGCAAATAGCTTGTCTTTTTTCGAAATTTCGTTCGTTCTCCAGGAGCTATTTCGCCGAATGAAAGCCTGCCCAATACAGTCCCGCTCATTCCACTCCAGCAATGCACATATACTTGGGGTAGACTTAGCTCGGCTTATTTTCCTCTCCGCCTTCGTTTGCCTGCGCGCGTTGCCTCGCAACTTTCCTCGTCGCTGCTAACTCTATTCCCGCTGATATCGCATAAACTCGCGCGTGTCACTCGAATAAATTTCCTCTCATTTCTTTCTTCCACCTCCGTGGGGATACAGCCAGGTGTGCATGCATGCGCACTCGAAGCCGCGATAGCCGCGAGGCCCGCGCTCGGCTCGCTCGAGCAAACTTTGCTTTTTCAGCGTGCCAGGCCACGTCCAATTCGTCGCCGCGGGCGTTCGCTCGGAAGAATTCAGATTTAAGTAGTGCAGGAAGAGCTCGGAGCGGTCGCCCGGTCGCGCGGTCGCGTACGAAAAAGGAACTCTGGTACGCGAACTCTTTACCCGATTGGCAGCCACGCGAACCACGCGTCCTCCCCCGACTACTCCAGGCGACGACCCGCTCGTGACCCACTGACCTTCGCCAGCAGAACAGCAGAAGAGGCTTGCGAATGACCAACGGCGCCCGTTTGCTTTCGTTCTGTCCACAGCTGGGCGGCGAGGTGACGTACGCGGAGCTGTGCCTGGCGCGGCCGTCGCCGGTGGACGGCAAGCTCGCCAGCCTGGGCAGCCTGGCGGGCTTCGGCAGCAGCGCGGGCGTCGTGCTGGGCGGCGGCATGGGCGCCGGCAACAAGCTCCCGGCAGGCGGCTACGTGGCGGCCAAGGAGGCGACGGTCTACGCGTGCATCGACCACAGCGCCCGGCCGCCCAAGGTGGAGTCGCCGTCGGCGGCGAGTCTCGCCTCGGACTCGCTGCACCTGAAGCAGCACCCGCGCGAGGTGGTGACGGTGCGCACGCCGCTGATATCCAGCCAAGAGAGCTGCGTATAGGGACGCGATCCCGACGCGACTTCGCTCAACGTCAACGAGTACTACGTCTGATTCGGCGATCGCGTCGAGAGAGCCGCGTCGACGCGGCGCTTGCGAGCGGCGAACTCTGCTGCGCCCCCTCCGCTGCACCGCCACTGCGTCTTCGATGCAGCTTTCTGTGCCGGAACCTTTGGCATCTGCACGCGTCATTTCCCACGGCGGCCTTTAGTCCGTAGGCTTTCGTTTGAGCCACTTGTCGAATAAATTACCTTCCGCGAGGCGGCTGTTGTCGAGGCGCCACGACAGACGGCAGCGCAGTCGGCGGCCAGTCGCGGGGCGAGAGAACCAGGCCGGCTGGCTCGAGGCTGCGCAGCCGACTTGGCCGCGCGTGTCGATTCGATCCGCCGCCGGCTGCGCGCGGCTGCGTGCTGCTGCGTGCTGCTGCGTGCTGCTGCGTGCGGCTGCGTGCTCCTTCTTTTTACCCAACTGCGCAGAAAGTTCGCCGGCAGCCCCGAGCTCCTGTATATACGTGCGTACCTCGCGTAACCGCGTTATTCGACGCAAGTCGGCAACCGACGGCGCGAGGCTCGTACACCTGTACAAACTTGTATAACGCAATTGCAGAATTGAATTTGACGAGTCGTCGCGGCGGCGACAGCAAGGCGGAGAGCTCCGCGCAACGTGCTCTCCGAGGGCAGCGCCGCGTCACGCGAGCCTCCACTCATGTATACATTGTATTGAAATTAAAAGTGTATCATCGATTAATCTCGTGCCAGTAATCTGTACGATACGGTTTTGTCCCCGATCCCCTTGTAATTAATACTCCTTTCGCCCGTCCCCTCCGAACACTCTTAACCCGCCCACTCGTCAGTTTTTTCTATAATAAAAGCCCTTTTTTACACTGATCTTTTTGCGCGTCGTTCTTATTCGTAATAATCGACATAATCGACTTCTTAAAAAGGATTAATCTAGTAAACGATATAATTGAGTATAACTTTCAATTAATCCGACACACTAAAACCTAAATAGTATTCGTGCCTACTCCAAGACCATTAACACGTCTAGCTCGTAAACTTTCCAGATTCAGCACTACGCGCGATCTGATCAACACGCAATCGTCAGTGTACGACTAGTCTCCGCCGCACGTGAAACTCGTTCGTTGACCGAAAACCATCGTCTCGATCAAAAACACTGTAGCAAGCCGACAATTAGAACGTACAGACAGAGAGAAGAGAAAAGGCAGTCGTAAAAGCGCACGATTGATATTGCAAAACTTGTGCGCAACGCGTTAACATTTCTCGTTGGAATTCCCGGCTATTTGGATAGGTCGCAAATGCACATCTGCGTTACAAATCACGGTCCGCGAGTGTCAGGGAGAATCGCGGCAAAAAAACTGGTGGAGCAAAAAACAACGGTAAAGCGACGAGCGAAACACGTGTCGAGCACTTCTCGTTTATCAGCGAACTCGTGCAGAGCCGCGCATCCAAGCACTTTTTTATTCCAACATTAGCGTGTTTAATTAGACTCGGTACAGCTGCCCACTACCCACCCTCGACCTCCCCCCCCTCCCTCTCTTCATTTGTATTGCGTTCAGTTTGTCAAAGCGCTTACTTCACCGCGTCGAGCGTAAAACTTTTTGTTCGCCTTCTACGTGTAAATAATGTAAATATGCGTGATATATTACTTTTTTTTTTCTTAAATCGTAAGAGATCTGTCTATGGAGAGACGTGAAATAAGAGTTCTCATAATAATAATCCTGCAAAATGAGATGCATACCAGAGATTAGAGATTCCTCGAATCTCACATCGAAGAGAAAAAGATCGAGAACAGTACGAAAGAGAGGGAAACGAGAAATCGGAACTCGACGCGCATGTATCATGCATGAGCAAGGCACTTCGCGAGTTTCCTTTTCTTTCCCTTTTTTACTTCTTCTTCCACCTCCCTCTTCTCTCTCTCTCTCTCTCTCTCTCTCTCTCTCTCTCTCTCTCTCTCTCTCTCTCTCTCTCTCTCTCTCTCTCTCTCTCTCTCTCTCTCTCTCTCTCTCTCTCTCTCTCTCTCTCTCTCTCTCTCTCTCTCTCTCTCTCTCTCTCTCTCTCTCTCTCTCTCTCTTCTCGTTGTGGAATGGAGAACTTGCATGCAGAATTTCAGTTATACTATGCGCGCGGAAGGGAAAAGCTCCACGAGAGGCTTTCGTGCACTTGGATTCTCCGAGCCGTGCGAACGAAAAAACTAAGACGGATTAATGTATTTTAGTATTCTGATAGAGCAATTATCTTTGAAATTGACGAGATAGTTAGATTCGCTTTCTCGACAGACACGATACTAGACGTTATTTTTTTAAAAGGTTTCATGGTTTCTCTCTCTCTCTCTCTCTCTCTCTCTCTCTCTCTCTCTCTCTTTCTTTCTCACTCTCTCACCCTCTCTCCTTTTCCTCCTTCCATGACATCTAATTTTTAATAAAATTCTACACTGAACGCTCTTTCGCGTAATAAAATGAGATATTGGATGAGAAGAGGCGGAGAAAAGGAGAGAGGGGGCATGCAAGTTTTCCATTATTGGAGATGATGATAAAAGACTATAAAAAAAGCGGTATTACGTCGTTACTCTACCTTTTGATCGGGCGATCTATGACTCTTTTGAACTAACCTTGTAAAATAATCCATTGTACAGCATACATATTTTTCCAAAGTGCGTTAAGTGAATTGACAGCGTTGACGAGGTACACAGTAAGAAAAAGAAGTTTAAGCAGATTCAAGATATAAAATGATACACGTATATTATATATATGAAGAGAATTGCGATTAGAATGAAAAAGCGATTTGGTGATCGAAAGTAAAGATTATGTAAAATGCGCAAGAACATTAATACGTCTTTCTTCTGAATGTATGTTCGTGACCATTATACGTATTTGGAATAAATGCGAAGGCGTAAAGCGATGAGCGGCTGAATGGAGATTGCAAAAATAATAGAGAGATTTGTCAAGTATATTGGCGAGAAAAAGGAAAAGAAAGAGAAATCGATTTGAGCTGACATTGTTATTTTGGCCGAGCGCTCGCGGCTACAGCCATTTCATCATCCATCAAAGTATTTTTCTCTCGTGCCAGATTTTTTCGCGGGTTTTATCAATTCCATCGAAGCCTTTTTCGGGTCTAGGCTTCTTCGCCAGCACACACACACACACACACACACACACACACACGTCAGGATGCCCAGTCCGTTTTCAAGTATTTTAAGCACGCGCCTCGTTAACGATTTGCGGATTTGGCGCGCCACCGCGAAACGACGTCGGTCGAATATTTTTGAGCGCGAGCGCGCGCCCCGTGCGCGAATTCTCACCGAGTGGGCCAATCTCTCCGCTATCTCTGGCGCACAGCGGCACGAACGTTCGAGTTTTTTTTCCATCGGCCTTTATCTCACTGGCGCGCTCCCTTTTTTGCACGTTCCATTTCATTGGCACGTCTCGATTTTTATTTATTGCTCGGGCGCAACAGCGGGTGGGCGCGCGCGAGCAAAATACAAAAATGTCAGGCCGGTCAGGCCGAAAGGTGTTGGGCGAGCAACGAAAAAATGCGAATCGAATCAATGTAGCCGACGAAAGACGAGAGAGAGAGAGAGAGAGAGAGAGAGAGAGATGGACGTTTGTTGGTGGACGTTGTCGCAGGCGCTCGCAGCGACAGCGACGGGCCGCTCTCGTTCCTCATTGCTGCGGACGCGCTGCGAACGAGGAGACGAGGCTGTGCCGGCGCTGGTGGCCGGCAGACAGCGCAGGATGTTTCGAATTTCCTAATGTTACACGAATTCAGCGTTTTATCCGTGTTTTTCATGGCGCTTCGATACGGCGCGTCCAATTTTTATCGACGGCCTCGCGGCGCGCCCGTGCCCGAGCCTGCTCCGTTTGCGATCGATACGCGCGCGCCTCGAGCTCGTCTCGTTGTACAATATATATATTATAAAAACCATGGAGAGCACGCCCGCGACAATGACCGAGGCAAATTTACCGCCGGCAGCGCCCGGGACTTTACAATTTTGAGGAGTTGAGCGACAGAGCTGGCGACTCCAGTGCACAATCCTGTGAGACGCAACAGTGACCACCGCCATATACGTGTATTTACAATAATAATAGATCTATATATACATACGTCATCGTATTATGAAATAAACGTGTTGGTATGGAAAGTCAATTATTCCTGGCTTTATTTTTCATTCGATGCGTGCCCTGCTCCTTCGCCCTTGTATCCGCTGCACTTCCGGCCCTCCACTTTTTTTCCACCAGTCACGTGCATCCGCCCATCCACACATCCTCCATTCGTCAAAACTTGGCGCAAGCAAATATCTAGAGCTGCCCGCCACTGACGGTGCTTCCAGCACCTCTCAATCCTTTACGAAGACACGATGCTCCTGAGTAATTTAATACGCGAGCCAGCCGCTAGAGTTGCGGACAAGAAGACGTGAATGAGCAGCTACTCGCCTGTACTCGTATGTGCTCGTATGTCAATCGCACACCAGTTGCCGTCATCTTTCCAGTACTTTCCAGACACGCGCTTTTCTTTTCTCCTAACAAGTACAATGCTTTACTTTCACGTTATCTTCTTCATGTATCGCGCAGGATTCGATCCACTCGTTCTAATGTTCCAATCCGTTAACTCTGTATAGTACAGCTTCCAAAGGTGTACACCTAATTGTGGGATTAAGCTGGCAATTGCAGCCGGTCATTCGACCAACAAGCCATTGCAGTAACGTTTATATTCTAGGTAGAAACATTACTTCGCAATCAACCTAATGAATCCTCGACTATAGTGTTCATCTTGGAAATAGATTATTAAGAGGAGCTAGATTTGAAATGTTGGTAGGTAGAGATTAAAGATATCGCACTTGAAGATCAGCCGCTGTGGAGACGAAGGCGAAAGAAGAGTGGGTGAGGGAAGACAGCGCGCGACTAGCGCATTTTTATGCCGTTAACATAGCTCCGTCTGGCTGTCGGCCAAATACCTTCTTCAATTTCCCGTGAAATCCGATTTCCAATCTCTCTCTCTCTCTCTCTCTCTCCCTCTCCCGGCGAATGCGAACGCACAATACCTCCTATGTACTCGTCGTCGTCTTCCACGAGCCTCAACTCTACTCGACTGACACGCAGATGTCGACGTGGCGCGTATTGGTGAATCGCACTGTAATTGTAGTCGATTATACGCTTACCTCTGATATTTATATGCACAACATACATGGCAGCAGTTTCACGTAAACAGTTCATTAATTCGCCATATTTTTTTTCGAATGTAGAAATAGATGTGCTTAAGTTTTGAAGCTACGCTCCCTCATTTTTTGTTGAAAACTATATCTTGGTTTATTTTTTATCAAACGATTCGACCCTTTCTGAGCTTTTTTTATATTATTTATCTTTTTTTGCTTGTAGAAGCTGAAATATGTCGTACAATAATAACAAATTATTACAATACGTACAATATTACAATATTACAATATTACGTACAATAATAATAAATTAAGCAGCTGTCATTAAATCGAATTGATTAATTTAATTACATCTGCGCATTTGATCAACCTGTCAGTCTATATTTAACTATTTTTGAAAATTTTTATCATTTTCACTATTTTTCTTACGTTTTTTAGGTAATAAGAGCTAAATAAAATGCGATGAATTTGATGAAGCGTGATTGACATAACGTTATGAAGCTCAAATTTGATCAGTAAACTTGCTTTAATGCCTAAAGATGTTCAATTAGATAATTCAAATATTTGTTGAAAAAAGAACAGAATTGAAATAAAATTATCCTAAAAGAAATTACAGTTCATCGACTCATGAATGAAGGTCAATTGTTAATTTAAAGCACCCTATACTAGTGAAACTTGCTGATAGTAGGAAAAGTTTAAGCAGCTTGGCAGTAGCCGCGTGTACTATACTCGACAAGCCTCAAAGCCCAAAACTGGATGTGTTGGCAAGTCCGCTCGAACTCGGATCACGCGACTGGAAATATCGGCCAAAAGGAGAGAGCGAGGGAGAACACTGATTAATTAGATTAGTTCTCTCGTTATAAATTCATGCGAGAAACTTTGTCCGAAAACTTGTACTTGCAAAATTTGTCAAAACGTACTTTGAATACAATAAATTCTCGTTGTAAATGCACATGTGACCCACCATTGAAACAAAAATGAAAAAACCATTTTGATATTGACGCCGTCTCTTTCTCTATCCTCCAATTTTGTCTTCTACCTTTCAACTGTAATTTTTCCAACATGTGAAAAAGGAGGTCGGATGCCCTTTCCATCTACGTATGAAGCAATATAGGAAACCGCATCTGGAACGTCCTATTTCCTATTGCAAACAAAAGACGAATTTGAAAAAATATCTGCTATCGTTACCGATGAGCGAGGGCTGCATCGATTGAATGCCTTATAGGTTTCACGGCAGCAACGGCAGAACTTATGAGAAATATCGATCCATCACACGAGCTTGTGAATACAAAACCTTATGAAGGAGCAGCGAAGAGTACGATCATCTGTAACTTGACCGTCAATTTATTGCTTTTCCAGCCGTTCCGTATAGGCGTCTGTGCTGGCTAAGCTTGTTTCTTTAGTTGCCTAACTTTAGGCGAACGTCCACCATTTTTTCGACAGACAAAGCTGTCCTTGCAAGATAATTATGCACGATATTAAGGACTGTTGAACCTTATGAACAAATCTAACTGTTGAATGCGCCAGAATGCGCCGAGCAAAATCGCCAGATCGAGGCTTTTTAATTGGAAGTTTAGGTTCCAGGGGTAAACTGCAGTCGCAAGTAGCGAATAGCCAAACAATAATGATATACAATTACCGCGATTTCGGTCATTTATGGGCAAACAATAACGCGAAAGCTTATCGATTGGCAATATAACAACAACAATAACAAACTCTTTTGTTTCATGTGAAAACGAATGTCAAAATATTGAAAAGAAAAATAATTGAATGTAAAAAATTATTTTTTCAAATTACTTATGACTTGATAAATGATCAGACAATATTTTTCATAAAACTTGAAAGATTGCATTTGCCATTAATAAACTGTGTTAATGAAAGGGACATTTGTCACGCATTGATCACAGAGTTAGCTTGAGACTATTATCGAGGGTTTGATCGAAAAATGTGGAAAGCTTATAATTATACCAACGAGCCAGTATAATCCAACGCGTCTATCGCCCATAATAAAGGAAAGGCCTGAAGCTAGTAAATAATGCACAAAAGAACGCAGTAAACTGAAAATATCTCGTTGTCATGAGAAAGCTGCCATTGAATTTCTCGATTTTATAATCAGTCAATTTCGAAGTTTGTTTTTCCTCCCGGCTGCGTGTCTTCGAGCTTATTGTTCTGAATTTCCGATGTAAAACAGACTGGACGCAAGCGAGCAGTAGACGAGGCCGTGGAAAGGAACAGCGCGAGAGGAAGAGGAAAAGCTGGAGCAATTAAAACGCGCGAAAAAAAGGAAAGGGGAGAAGAGGAGCTCCGAGCTCCGAAAAATAAATCTATGAGACAGCTCCGAGCCGGAAGCTTAATGAGCGCGCGAGCTCGGCTGATTGACATTTAATTCTGGGAAGAATTCGCGCCACGCAAAAAGCCGATTGCACCGAAGGGGCGCGCAAGGCCGATAATTAAATCTGCTTTTGGGTGCCGGCAATCCAATCAGATTATCAGAGCCCGGCGCCAGTCGTGACGAACCGCGGAAATTCAACCGCCTCTCTGGCTTCTGGCGGCATGCGCGTTGCACGCGAGAACGGGCTCGACTTTCCGGCTGGTTCGCCTTCGATTCTGCTCGGCCGGAGCCCACTCTCCAGTGCTCCCGTCGAAAGTCCGTCAGTCCTCAGTTTCAACGATCGAGCCACTGGCAGCCGGCGGCGCTCGCCGGCACGCGAGAGTTATCGAGCCAGACGGGACAGCTGTTTGACTCTTTGCCGTCGGCTCCTCGGCTACGTTGCCATGGCCCGCGGGCGGAGCAGCCCTTTGCGCTCGGCGTGCCTTCGGGCCACTCTCGCTCGGACTCAATCTGCCATCCGTTGGTCGATCGTAAACTCGATATCCCGCCGCCCATCAATCGCTGTGCTTGGCGCGTCGATGCATAATATCGCGTCGCCGCGGGCTCCGCTCTGCGCGCCCGTCCTCGCGCGTGCACCATTCCAGCCGAGTCACATCTAGCCGCCAGCATCTGCAATGCAGCCGTTGCACCACCTTTGCACCACGCGTGGACGCCTGCGTAGCACGGCTCTGCCGTACGACCTGTCGCGTCGCAACGGGCTTTTATCGCTTTCTTCGAACCTCCGATGCTTCGCGTGCTCATCGACGACGACAGCGGCCAAGGCTCGATAAGCTCTTTTCCGTGGATGAACTCGATTAATTGAACTCAATAATCCAGCGGCGCTCACTTGAGCCTGCCTCCGCTCTAATAAATCCCCCCGCTGCAGTGCTGACTCGCGCGGCCGTCTCCTTTTTAAAGATATACCTCTACAAAGGCGCGCGCGCGGCCCCGCAAACGTAACGAAGAGCTCCCAGAAGAGTTTCGCGGCCAGCGACGAACCTCCCAAACAACCAGTGTCTGGCAGATCAATATCTAGTCCAACTTTTTACGTTGTTGCTCGTTTGACAACGCTTAATGTCGCTAGTGTAGCACAACTGCCCTGGCCTGCTCGGTCGATCAATGTTGCGTGGCAAAAGACGCGGATAACGGTGCGATTGTGCGATTGGAGGGCGATATGTAAGAAGCCATATGGATTGTGAGCTTAAGACGGGACAGCCCGAGGTGTTGCTTCTAGCGGGAATTGAGTCTCCGATCGCTTAAGCCACAGCTACGAGAGCTTGAGTCGATCGAGCGCGTTTTGCTATACCTCGCCACTCGAATTATCTTGAATGATCTAATCGTATGGTTTCAATTGAAAACTATTTATCTGGATTGTAACAATTTATAGCTGGGAAATGAGAGACCTACCAATGAGTGCCTTCGTTGCTAGGGCCAGCGGCGAGGAGCTTCGCATTCAAATGACCTTTCGCGTTTGTAAATCCGGACAGTGCAGTCTTTTCATTTGTAAATTTTGTAAAACCTCTCGAGAAATAAATGAACCCTATAATAAAAGAAAAGGAAAAAGCCCCAATTGTCGACAGTCGTAACGAGTGAAGCTGGAGCCCAACGCTCGCTGAGCAACCAGCAGGTGTCGACGACAAGGAAAATCGCAAACGTGATATCGTTTATCCGTTACAAAGGGAGAAACTCTTCCTATGTGCAAGCACGTTGCGGTAAGTGGTGATAAATGATAAAAGTGGCTACAAGTTGGTCGAGCCTCCGCGCATACGCACAACGCTAAGTTGGAAAGCAATCAGCGTCCGAGCCAGTGCAACGTGCGTTCTGGCTTGTTGCTTATTTTTGTCCTTTTGATATCGAACGTCCGCGAGCGAACGAAAAGCTCGCTGTTACGAGCAGAAAGGTAATTTTGCGATGAGTCGGTCCAAGACTTGCAAAGGCGGTGGATGTATAGACGTACAGGTGGCCATAGCGGGGCATTCTCGGGCACGCACTCATCGCAGCCCGGACTATTGCTTCGACGTTTACGGTCACTATTCAAGCTCTCATTCTTCGCAGACTGTCGGTGCTCCGGTCTCGTGTCTCGTAAATCGCGCGTGCGCACCTCGATAAAACCAGATCGAAAAATAGCTCTCAGCCGGCTGCATAACCCTTCCTTTTTTCTTCTGCCTTTGTCTTCGCGCTCGTAAAGCCAGCCGACGAACGAAATTTCTTCTCGTTCGCACGGCTGCGGCTCTACAGCCTCTATAGCGTCTCGGCAAATTGCGCGCCTCAGCTGTCGTTTGTGTACCGTCAATTGAATTTCCCACCTTTCTTGCCGCTTCTTTCGACTTGGGCCATTCTCATTCCAACGACGCCGTCGGACCGACCGAACCGATGCAAAATCCTTTCAACGCTCCCATCTGGATCGATGCGTAGCATCGACTTGGGCTTCCCCACTCTTCGTACGCGTATCGCTGCGATAATTCAGCGATCGAGCAGAGCAGCTAACGCGGCATCATTGGCAGCTCTGGCCTCTGGTCATTCCTCCAATGGCCTCAGCCGCAATCTCAGTTATTTCACGATGTTGATGAATGAACGCCGGCTGGATAATTTAAAATTTCAAACTCGTTGATCAGCGAGCTGTGGACGTGAACGAGCGCGCGGCGGCCTGCATTGCAGGCAAAATTCGCTGGGCATTTCACCGCGCGGTAACTGCACTCGAGGCTCGCCGCCGCCACCGTGTATGCATATAATTGCGAACGCACGACCTTCGTTATGTTGATCGTATGCGCCGGCGGCAGCGGTCCGACGGCTATCGGAATGACGTGCAAACTAATTAATCGATTGAAACGATCCTTCTTACAAGTGCGACCTGCAGCTGAGGCCGAAGAATTTGACGCGTGATTTGATAGGGCCGAAATGCATTCGGTGCTCCCTGAAACGTCTCGGAATAGACGAGCTTGAAGCGTTGACACGACTGCGACGATGCGACGAGAGTATTTTTCGGTGCGCTCGAGTTAATTGAAAGCCGCGCTAACACGCCTCCGTTAAAAGGGGAAAAGGGGAGCCAGAAACAAGAAAGCATTGTCCTGGATCGCGGGCGCTGGCTCAATTATGACGCCAAAAAAAGCAGCAGCTCTTTGTGAGATGGAGAGCTTGCGCTCTCTCGCGGGGCCGCCGCCGACGCCGCCGACGCCGCCGCGTTCATTTCATAAGTAATAAGAGCCGGCTGTGTTTGAAAAACGCTCGACGCTGGAGGGAAAGAGAAAGAAGCCGAGCGCGGCGCGAACCAGCGAAAAAGAATACGAAAAAAAAGAGAGTAAAGAGCCGGCCTCGATCCATTCAGCGAGGCCGAGAGAAGGCAGAGGGGTCGAGGCAGGCGGAGACGTAATATCGTTTCCTCGAACGTGCCACGCGCGTCAACTGCGCGCGGGCTTTTGTGCGCGCGAATACGCACGGACAAAAGCTGCAGCAGCCACGACTTTGTTTCGAAATTGCCGCTTATTCGACGCCAGTACTGCTCGGTTAAACTTTCCTCGTCACCGCGCGGCGACCCATTGCTCTTGCCCTCCCCGCTCTCATCGCCGGTCGCGTAAGAGCGCAAAGGAGCGACAGCTAACGGCTATTGTAAATTACGACCAAGCAAATAAGGCTCGAGGTGAACGAGCAGCGAGCAAAGAGAGCAAGAGACAAGCTCGAAGGCCACGTGATAAATAAGGCATCGACGCTGCAGCTCGGGACGTTGGTTCGAGCTTTTGCTAATTATGCCGAGTTTACGCGAGCAGGCAGCGCAAAGCGTGGCGTACTCGCGACGTGTAGCGAGAGAGACTGTCAGCGCCAGACGAACCGCTGGCCCGACTATACGTAACGGATGGATCTCGCGCGCTCTGGCCCGCGCCCACACACGAGCCTTTCTTCTCGGCCCATTCCCACCCTTTGCCAGCAACTGCCTGCCTCTGACCGCGCCAGCTCGCTCTCTCACTCGACTAGTGGAGAGCGAACGCCGCCGCAATACCCGAGCATCACTGCCGAGCTGAAATTAGTTTTCAAGATGATTTCGTGCCCCAGCCACACACAGACAATCTCTTTCCGCCGTTTACCTTGCCAACTTGACTCTGCCTTCTCCCTTTTCTCGTTCCTCTTTCCTCTTTCCTCTTTCCTCTTTCCTCTTTCCCCTGATCTTTTATCAACTCTCGGCGTACTTTCGTACTTTTTTCGAGCCCTCCCCAATACCTATTTCCTCGGTAGCGATATTACCGCTGCCACAATTGCCTCGTGCCTGCCGTTATTTCGCCTTGCCGCCTGTTGGTCCGAGGCTCGAATAAGTGTATGTACAGTTTCGCGCAAAGCCTCGCTCAGTGGAACAGTCCAGCAATAGTCCGACCGCGAGCGCGCTGTTACTCTCGACTTGAAGATGTCGAAGCATCAACCGGTGGCTATTTATGAATATCGTTTTTTCATCTAGCAGCCACCTCTACAACTAACTTGGAATCGGAATTGGTCTGTAAACACACCGGCAGTTCAGCGCGAAACGTCTCTATTTGTCTTTAGTCAGGCGGCGCGCGAGAGTTTTCAAAGGTGAACTCTCGCGTCCTCCCTCCCTCGCTCCCTCCCCCCCCCCCTCTCCCTCACTCCCTTTCTATCGCTCGCTCGCGAATTTAATGTTTCATTCGGCGCGCACGAGACGCCGTGGGCGCATGTCAGACACTTAACTAGATTTTACTATTTGAACCGAGGACGCGGGCAAGGAATCCTTTTCGGGCGCGTAGTCGAGATCCATTTGGAGCCTCTTAATCGCATGTGCTCGCGACAGCTCTCGGATAAGTTTAACAACGAACTCATCCTCGGGCTGAGATCTTCCTTGCCGTCGAGTTAATCTGGCACACTTAGCCGCTACTCGCGAGCGCTGCACGTATCTTGAGTTTTATTTCTTCTCACTTACCATCCGAACTTTATCAGATTACGCAGCAATGGTGCTTTTTCTCTCGCCTTTTGCATTTTGCGTCATTCTCCTTTTATTGGCAGCTGCAATGGCGCTGCTTTCATTCGACTTTTCATAATTATGCAAACGCAAAAAGAAAGCGTTTCGCTGCCTTATTCGCAGTACAGCCTTTGAACAGACTGCCTCTTGACGCCAGGCTCAAAGACGTAAGCTCCACTCGTTATATATCCTAGAAGCGTGTCAGTAATTTCATCTCTCTCATTTGAAGAGTGCACGAGAGAGCCGCCGCGCTGGCAGTGCTGCCGTGGGCAGGCGAGAGGGGATCGAGCCAGCAGGAGCTGTCAGCCAGCTATTCGGCGCGAGCACTAATCCAACTTTGTTTTACGATGAGATTCATTCGCTAGGTTAACGCGCGGCCGTGCTTCGACAGAGATATAAATTTCAACGTGCCGGCTATCAATGGCGAGGCGCTGCACTGCGCGCTCAACACCTTCAAACTCGACTAGCCTCTCAAGTCAAGTCAGTGCGCGCGGCGCACGCGCGCTTCAATCTCTCACTGCAGTCTCACTGCTCTCACTCAGCCTTAATTAATGCCTTCGCCCTGAAACATCGCGCACTGCGAAACGAGCCACACTGCTTTATCACACGCTTCGTCGTTCTATCTCCGAATCTCCCAACTGCTCCAATTGTTTCCTATTAAAGCCAGCTCTAACCGGCTCCGCATTTTTGCCTGCTCAATCGCGATTTCCATTCAGCGGATATTTTTAAATCCATACAAACTCCTGCAACTTATCCTCTCGCTCGATGATCTTTCAACCTATGTATGTAACGTCCACTGTCTAGCTGCAGCCTTCTCGGCTACGTGCAGCGAATATTTGCAGGCTACGTCAACCAAAACAAAAGCGAAAACAGTTAGACCGGTAAGTAACCTCGAAGCATGAAAATGAGTTTCAGTGGGTCGCATGATACATTGGAATATCAAGGAAGATACGAGCATGAGTTCGAAAAAGATCTGTCTGACGAACGATCGGAATCCGAGTACAAGCTCAAGAGGAGCGACGTTTTCGATGAATTTCTTGACGACGAGTGGCCAGGCGAAATTGAAGAAAATTACGGGTACAGCGAAGCAGAGGAACAAGAAAAGAAAGTCAACGAATTAGCTACAAAGGAGAGAGGTCAAGTTCTTCAATTCTAGTTCACTTTGTGATTAATCAGAGAAAATTAACGGCTACGCTATTTCCGCTTCTCTTGCAGAAGTTGAACAAGACAAGTCTTCCATAGAGAAACCAGAGGGTGCGAAGCTTCCAAATTATCAGATTCCAGAAGAACTAACATTTGCCTGATTTATCTTTCAGTAATTCCAGAAGAAAAGCGGGACCGAAAAAAAGTAATATTTTTTGGAGACGCTGACTCACCTCCACCGGATGGCTCCACAGCGGAACACGCTATCGAAGAGAAAACACCTGGCAGTGGCAAAACTATTTTTGATCTCGAATCCTTCTCCGCTTTAACGAATCTAACACAAGGCTTAGCAGGCGACGACAATGAAGAGGAAGACGAAGAATCAGAGATTCAAGACGGCGATGCGATACGTTTCTCCAAAACAATGGTAAGACAAAAATAAAAAAAAAACATGGCCCGAATTTGCTCTGAAATGAGCTTGATCAGTGATACCTGATAAAAACTCGATTTTCCCTTTCCTTCTCTCTGGTAGGGAATAGAGGGCGTAGCCCGCATCGACCTGTCACTCCTCACGCAAAAGATCGTCGGTCTGGTGATCGACGAGAACGTGACGACCGAGTTCCCGTGGCTGTACGTCCGTAAAGAGATAATCGAGGACAACTTGGATCTACACTCGGAGAGCAGTGATTTTCTGCCAATAAAAAATTATATCGAGCGTTATCCAGCACCGCGAATGCTAATGGGTTATGCGCCAACTACTAAGGAAGACGAGGGTCAGTTTTACATCTGTCTTACCGAAGAAGCTAGAGATGCGGTTGCTCGCATTATCGAGGCTCGACGAGTCATGCAGCAGGACAAAGTGCGCAATGCCGTACTCAAAACAGCCGGACAATGGAATCATCTTGGGAGCGGCGATTGCGTCAATTTTATGACTGTGAACAGGGCCAGGCAGTTATACGAAATTCAGGCATGTAATCGTAAATGACATTGCAAAAGGCGATTGCTTGCATGTCTTTACCAAACATCTCTCTACAGGTACATGTAACACACCAAGATATGGAAAATTTTCTTGGCTATACTTTCGCACCATATAGGGAGTATGCATAACAAACAACGCGCAAAACGCGCAAATGGCATACCATTCGATAATTTAGTATTGTACAATTGCATTGAATAAATTGTAGCTCGTTCGATCAAGTCGAATATTTAAACACTGGAAACATTTTGAAAAGTCACCATTTATCGTAAACATCGAGTTTCATTTGCTTAGCCAAAATCACAGGTCAATGCACTAGTAAAGAACAAATTTTTGAAATAATTCATTTGATAAAACTAGCTGCATTTGAATGTAGGGCGAGCTTAATTATCATCTTTCGAATCGTATATTCTATTTCGCTTTTGATATATAAAAATACTTGATCATACTGCAAGCAGAAATGAAACATTAGGCTATGACAAACTAAATACATTGATACAGTGAGAGTTGACACAGAGAAAAAAAATTTTAAAAAATTGACGAAACACGAAATAGAATAAAAATAGTTTTCCCGTAACAACTTTTATTTACTTTGATGTGCAGTTTTGAAATTCATTGTAAACTCGATGGATTAATCAAAAATAAACTAAAATCAAAAAGTTGGTAGAAAAAGTCAAGCCATCAAAGCAGATGTAAATATACAAAGCTACCCTCAGAGTACGTTATTGATATGCGTGAAGCTTGGATCGTTATATTTACCAAGCATCAACGAGCATAAAATTCGTGAAAATTCCCGAATATGCCGCCGCGTGAGAATGGGTAGAGAGAGAGAGAGAGAGTAAATAAAAAATAATGACCGGTGAACAGCGAGCATACATTTGCAATTTTCGGCGTGCCATATCGTTCGAAAGACTTTTGTTGAAACGCGGGGATTTGTTCAAATAAAAGCTCGAGTGCAATGCCAGACTTCAAATATAAACCATTGCGCGGAGCTCGAAACGAGCGCTGCGAAATCCTTTGCTGGTAGGACACACATATATACATGATCGAGCAGCCTTTTGTCGCCCGAGCGATTCACATGTAAATCGAGCTGTGGGCTGTAGCTGTTTTTTTGCAGGGCGAGAGAGAAAGAGAACTTTTAATTCAATTTCCGGAGCTCGATGCGATAAATTCCCGGGGCTACCTACTTACCGTAGGGTCGGTCCGCAGCGCCCGTAAATTTTCAAGCCATACGGTTATGCATCTCGCGGAGCGGCCACTTTTATTACTGGCGAGAGCCCTCTCCTTTCTCTCTTTCTCTCAGCGCCAGAGAATATAGCGAGCGTAATGTAGCGTTGTTAAATATTGAGCTGGACGCAGCTTGCCGCGTCGCCATAGAAGCTCGCACAACTACCTCCCAACGTCCATAGCTCAATTCGTTCTACTCGAGCGCTCTCAACAGCTTCAGCTTATTGTATGCGCGTTCTTAGGTGTTTTTATGAATTCCGAATGTGCGTGTACATATAGATATTTATAGGTCGAAAGGTCGGCAAGCCAGCTGAAAGGTCCGATGGCGCTGTGCGACAGAAAATCGGACGATCAGCGAGACAGCTACGTTGAGGTGGTTCCGTATCGGCAGAGCTTCAGCAATGTCACGCGATTGCTCGTGGATAAAGACACGAAGGTGACACCAGCCCTCGAGGATAGCCAAGTTCAGACAATACTTGCGCCACGAGTCAATTCCTCGTGTCAGTGCCAGTTGGATGTTGAGCCGACTGCCGAATTGACTCTCGCTAGCGGCAAGCAGACCAAGACCATGCTGGAATCGCTGAAAGTCCGCGTTGACGATGTCTGCGAACAGGTTCGCTCGACGTCGAGTCAAGAAAAAGCAACCATGACTTTGCGACAGGTTCCTTCAGGTTCACTCCAATACCTTGTGGGACGTGTACGCCAACGATTACGCAAAACTAGCAGCACGAGCCGTCGGTCCGCTCATAGAGACAAGAGGATCGACGGAATACGTCGAGCGGCAGAGCTACTACAAAGGCAAGTCGTGCACGGGTCGCGTGATCAACGACTTGGCCTGGCATCCTCTTTGGACGGGAGTTGCTGCGGTTGCCTACACCGAGATCAGCAAAAGCGAGTATCTCGTCGGACCGAAACCTTACAAGGAAGTAATGATTTTCAGGCCGATCGATGCATTGCCTTCGCGAGCACTTACTCTATTTTTCCTAGGATTTGAACGAAAGTGGCGTCCTGATTTGGTCGCTCGACGACAGCCTCGGACCGAAATTGATTTTGCAATCCAAGAGACAGGTATCCGCTGTGTCGTTTCATCCGCGCAATGGAAACATAGTAGTGGGAGGTTGCGCAAACGGTCAAGTAATGAACAATTTGCGATGTGTCCGAAATCGACGTATCGCGCTCGACACTGAAGTGCCGTTGAACGAGCAGATTACCATCTGGGACATCACGGGTAAGCTAGAGGAAGTGGAAAGGGTCCTGGTGAAGTCACCCGATCAAGTCAAGTACGAGACGATTCTGAGAAGTATGACGACGTGGATGAAGGATACGCTGAGCTCCACGATCGTTAGAGCCACGGTGAGCTCGTGCCTGCAGTACAACCAGAGAGGACAAATCACAAAGATCGACTGGTTGTCGCCGTACAAGAAAATCAACGAGCGCGGCATACTGGAAGATCTGCCTGCCGACGCGACGGAGGACACGTTGAGCTCTCAATTTGTGACTTCGAGTCTGGACGGCAGCGTCGCTTTTTACGACCTAAAGTGACCGGCGGGCAAACAGAACAAGGCAGAGAGATTTTTCGGTGGAGTTCAAGTTGAACTTTGTTTGGCAGTTGGCGGCCAGTCGAGGACAAGAAGAAGGAAGCGCAAAAGAAAAAGAGAAAATCCATGGAGAAACCCGCGGGTCTTGTACAGTCGACGTCGCCTTACAAAGTGCTCGACAACATCTTCAAGCCCCTATACGCTCTCGTCGCGCAGTACGACAACGAGAGCCGCAACGCTGTAGTGACGGCGATGAGCGTGCGCCGACCATTGCTACGGAGACGACAAGTGCCACCTTTTCCGCGAAGCGACCAACTTGCCGAGCGAAAGTATTACGAGACTCTGCTCGAGAGACAGCAGGACGAGGAATCGATTCCAAGTATTATAAAATACGTTAGCCTTAGCGTGCTTTCAGTGCACCGTCCACTCGTACGTACGCCAATCGCCAGACCGGCAGACAGACTTTGCAAGCAATCACGCGACGCGAGCTGCGGCAGGAACATGGCGCGCATCTATTTATTAGGTATTCACGACTCGCAGGCGGAATTTTCATCGGTACTATGAGGGGCGAGTGCGGCTTAGTCTCCTGGGAAGGCTACGAGTTCTCCACGGGGATCACTCTCACCAAGGAGATGTGCAAATGGACCTGGCGCAAGCAACTGCACGACGGCCCGGTCGTCCACGCAGTCAGATCGACGCATCTCAGGGACCTGATCGTCACGGTCGGCGGTAAGATTTTCGCCGTCTGGCGCGAGGACTTCGACGAGCCTATTCTGTGGAGAAGGTCCGAGTCCAGGTGTGCACGCCAGTCACTCGTCACGTTTCATTCGTCACGTTTTACTGGACCGATCTGTCGAATACGAATTGCCGTTCGGACGCACACCACGAACGCCATGACGCTTGCAGTCGCGGCGTTAAGCTCATTGCGTCAGCTGATCATTCGCTCGAGTATTTCCATAACGAGCGAAACGGCGGCTGTTCTCGTCTTCTCGGAATAAGGCGACACAGCGTCCAGATAGGCCAGTTTAGTTTCGTTTCGCAACGTCAGTTTGTTACATTTCTAGGTACTCCAGCTGCTGTTGGGCAGCTGAGAGGCCGAGCGTTATCATAGTTGGTCGTAACGACGGCACCGTCGAGATCTGGGATCTGTTCGTTAAAAGCCACGAACCTAGCGCCACTCACGGCCTCAGCGGCAGAATAATTACGGGAATCTATGCTCACGAGCTGCCACTGAATCCACAGTGCGTTGCGTTTTGCGATTATAATGGCGCGCTGAGAGTTTTCCTGGCGCCCGCAGTTTCACTGGCGTTCAAGCAAACCGACGCCCAATGGATGCGCCAATTCGTTGACCGAGAAGTTGCGCGGGTAGAGACAAAAGAACGGTCGACTGCCGGACTCGACGTTTGAATTTTCGCTGGCGTTTCGGATTGCATGCAGGTTATTTTAATTACAGATCAAAGACTTGAATGCTTGGCGAGAAGAGTGGCGACGAACGGAGGAGAAAAGCGCGGGGGATCAAGGAAAAACGGCTCAACAGGACGACTCGAAGAAAGTATCGGAAGCGGAAGAAAAGTTGAAAGATGAAGCACTAAAAGCGGAGGCCAATAGAGAAGCCAAGGTATAATTAAAAAGTATCTTGCGCAGCCTTTATCCTATATACACCGGTGACCTACATACTTGTATGCTTAGCTTATCAAGACGAGGATCTCCAAGTATGAATTCTCTCACATTTGAATTACGCTATCAATGTAATTTTGCAGGCGAGGCAGCGTAAGAACTTGGTGGAGCAAATGCAGGCGAAATGGGTGACACGCGAGCTGGGTCGAATGCAGGTTGCCATTTTAACGAAAAAGGGCCTGCGAGAGGAGGAGCTGGAGCGCCGAATCGAGCCGGTGCTGCGAATGAAACGGGAAGCTCGCGAGAGAGACTCGCGACGCCAGCGAGTTCTCGACAAAGCGCCCGAACTCTTCAAGGACGCGGTGGCCTCTAATTTCCCTCAGCAGCGTGGCCAGCTGCTCGACACTGATGACACCGCCGACACCGCCGACGCCGCCCAGCAGGCAGCGCCGCCTCCCACCAGCAGCGCCGACTTAGCCGCCCCGTCGACGGACTTGATCGCTGCCATGGTACACGTGTAAACCTTTCTCTCTCTCTCTTGGCCTACACTAGCAGCCCGACTATCGATTAATTCGTTATCGAGAAATTTCATAGCCGAACTAGCACGATATGAAGCTGGCAAATTGCCGCGAGTAGTATTGTTATAGAATTTGACGCCTGAGGTACTTGGGCGTTAAACCGACGGAACATCAAGTGCGCGAGCTCGGAAATTACTCGTTTACTGCCTTGTTACCATGTAGAATTTCATTGCAACTTCAGTCATAAATTCTATGCGAGTAATTTCCGAAGTAATTTCAACAATTTTCCTATTTTCAACCGGAGGCACAGAGAATACGCCAGCTGCAACTGGCTCACTCGTACGCCCGTTACGAGGCTGGTTCATTCCGAGAATTCAATTTTACCATCTCGTGCGGTCGAAAAATAACCTGTCAACGTTTGTTTTTACTGTTCCGATCAGGACAAAGCATCTGATGAGGACATTATTCGCGAGTACGAGAAACTCGAATCCGAGACGTTGGCCAAAATACGCCAGCGTCAAAAGCTCGACGAGCGACGAGAACTTGACTTCAACTGGCGTAAACTCATAGCCGAGAGTATTAAGCAACGCCGATCAATGGATGTTAATCTGGAGGCACGCCAACTAAAGACAACTCACCAGCCCGAGGACTATGATTTGTCGTTGAGCACCAGTCTTGAGAGCTTCCAGTCTCGTCGATAACACCGGCGAATAATAAAGAGCATGAAAATTTCATTTCAGCGATTCGACCCTTTTTTCTTTTTTCCGTTGTTCCTCTCCTTTTCCTCCTCCTCCTCCTCCTCCTGCTACTACTCCTTCTTTTCCTGCTCCTCCACCTCGCACTCTTTCCGCCTTTCACTTTTTCCACAAACCCGTAACCCGTAACGGAGCGTAACGGAGTTAGTGGGATGCTTGAATTTCGCGCGAGCAAGAGAAAGAGAAATAAAGCGTGCGGCAGGAGCAGCGTCGGCGGCGGCGGCGGCGGCGGCGGCGGCGGCGGCGGCACTCGACAATTTTTCACAATTAAGTCGGATTAAAAGTGCGCGCGACGCGCGACGTAAATGAATTTGAAATTTCAAACTACCACTTGTTCATTGCTGCTGCTGTGAAAGCCTCTTGTGCTAGCCATTCTTTTTTGTCCGTTATCCGTTATTTTCAGTACAGCTCTCGCTTCATCGGCACGGTGAGAAAGGTAACCAGGAAGGGGAGAAAGAGAAAACTCGCGTTATCCAACTGGAGAGCTTGTCTTCCGGCGTTTATTTCCCAGGAGCGACATACTGCGTCTCTCTCTCTCTCTCTCTCTCTCTCTCTCTGCCTCCCACCCTCTTTTGCTCTTCAGATGTCGCGCTAACGCTCTCTTTTTCTCTGCCCGCACTACTTGTCCTTCTTCTCTTTGCCTCTCCACCCGCCACTTTTTTTCTCCAAGTTTTTACGCGCCGCGCGCACTTTTATAAAAGCCTTATTTCCATTAAACAGCGCGCCGGTTTTTACGCTGTTTTAACGTCGCGTCACAAGTAGACAATCACCAACAAAATTGTCCTTTCCACGACGGTGGTTTGTTAAAAAGTTTGCTCTTCGCTTCGTGCACGCATATATACACGCGAGGTAAATGAAATAGGTCAGCGAACGAGACGAGTTATGAAAATTCTTCCGCTCGTCGTGTTCGCGTCCCGCCTAGTGATTCGATCTGTTGGTCAATCTATTCAACGGGAAACCTCTATGGAGCTGCTCGATATTTTGGACAGCGAGCGTGTACACAGCTGTATATTGTGGAGTCGTCGCGTGGCATACATTTGTAGTGTATCGAGATTTATAGCTAGGGTTGTAGCTTAGCTTCATATATTTTAATTTCCATCGACATGAAAACAATGAGTACGTATCACGGATTAACTCGACTCACTCGGAATATTTGGCACGTAGAGTCGATAACTATGAGCCTCTCTCCCATAGTCACGCACACAGTGCTCTGGATTGGCTTTCCACGGCCCACGCCTATCCAACAGCTCTGTCATTGGATTCTGGAAATCGATGACCGAAAGCCCTTTCTCTCGGTCGCTTAGTTATCAGCCGAGTGAAGATCGGGGAAAAATGTTGGGCCTTTCATTTGAGATCTGGTTCTCGTTCGCTCCTCCCTGGCCACTGCCCGCAACCTAACGCTGTTCACAGACAGTGGCTATTTCACTTGGCGCCTTGCATGTACCGCCGAGGCCGGTGCGCGGCAATACGGCTGAAAGACCGAGCGAGAGATAAGCAATGATAAAACTAAGTGAACGCGAGAGCCTTCGATTTTCATTTGACCTCGTAGCTCGACTTCCACGTCGACCTGGCCGCCGTAACTGGCGCGACCTCCGAGCGTAGATTACGTCGCGCGAAATTTCAATTTTGACGTGCCAGCGAGGAAAATCCAATTTTCCACTGGCAAAATATTGCGTGAAAACTTGAATTTTTTCAGCACCTCGCGAACCTGGATTATCTGCACCAAGCGAATCTGTTGCCGTCTTTTTCCTCTCTTTTGGCCTACATTCGAGCTCGAAGTGCAAAAAGCCGTGGGAGAGCAAGGACGGATCAGTGACGCGGCATCGAGATAGGGGATAATAGGTAAAAGACTTTTACTCTAGGCAGCTTGGGAAAAAGGCACACGGGGCAAACGTGACAGGCTGCCAGCTAACAGGACTTTGCGCGACACACACGCACCTGTGCGCGCGCGCGCCTACTCGGCAAGGCTAAAAGTCAGAAAAATTGGAAATATTGATCCGTTGGAAATTGTACGAGCAGAGCTCTAGCGCATTCTCTGCTTTTTTTCAATATTACAGTGCGCCTTGCAGCACGCGACGCAAGCAGCTCCAGGGATTCCGTCTCACTAAGAAAATGGTAAAGTTTGCCAGCGCTATCCGCAAAAATGGAAATAAGTAGCAACAGATTGGCGCGCTAGGCGAAGACGCAGCGAAGACGCAGCAAAGACGCAGCTAAGACGGAACGGGCAGGTGGATACTCGTGCTCGAGAGGACAGAGAGGTCGGCAAGGCACGTAGCCGCAACAGAGCGAACGATAGGAGTTTGGCGAACTATCCTGGCGCCCCTGCAACTGACATACTGCAGCGTTATTGTCTAAGTTCGAAACATCCTCGGCTGGCTAGCTTCTCTCGCTTCTCTCGCTCTCTGTATCTTTCTGCAACCTGCGCTTGGCTTATATCCGGGTGTATGTGTAGGTAGGGGAGCTTCGGTCCGCGTGCGCCCGATGACCCAACTTTTCCTCCTTTATATCGGCCGCCGCCGCCTCGTCACGGGGATAAATCTCTGACCGGGCATTATAAAGTTGCTCTCTAATACGCCGAAGTCGCGCGTGGTCGGCTATTGCACACAGCTGCGCTCTCGCACGCTGCCCTCAAGTGGCACACTAATGCGATGTACGGTTTTACTCCAGTGCCGGAGTCGCTGAAAAATTCTTGGATTATTGGCAAAAGCCACATGTGCCTCTGCTGCCGCTGCCGCCGTCGCTGCTGCCGCTGCTGCTGCTGCTGCTGCTGCTACTGCTGCTTGCTGAAATCGAACGGCCGATTTTTATTCCTCACTTTCGTCCACTTTTCCTTCCTCCGCCCAATAAAACCAACTGATTGCCAAGTTGACGGCTGTGCGAAAAGTAAAAAACAAGACGCGGCATCAACGACAGATTCTCACTGTGCCAGCGGATAATCGCTTCGACTCGTTATGACTCGCTCGGTATGGTGCGACGATGGTTCATCGACCTAGCCCTCGGTCGCACTCTTACTGCCTTTTCACTTGTCACGAGGCAAACGTTATTGAAATGGTGTTTAGTATTTTTCACGTCAATACGAAGCTGAGTACTGGACTCCCTCTCTCTCTCTCTCTCTATCTCTTTCTCTCTCTCTCTCTCTCTCTCTCTCTCTCTCTCTGCAGGAATGAAGGATGCTCAATTTCGGCAAGCATGCTATTCTCGGAGTTACTATCGACATTTATTGACATTTATTTTCGCCACTTTTCACCATATAGATTTTCGAAAAAATCAAGTAATTGCTTGATGTACCGCGACTGGACATCTACTCACTCTGCTATGGCGAATGTTAAGGGGCTTATTTGTTAGGCTTATTTGAGTGTCAACTATTATACTACAAGCGAAATAAGTGGTGAAGTTTTTAGACGAGTTTCTGAAACTTAGCAATAAGGTCAACGCGTATTTAGAGCAACGAACTAATAGATTCCTTCAAGATCACTTTTCTAAAGCTTCTGATAAAGGCACAAATATTTGAAAGAAAATACGGTACCTTGGCCTCCTGTCTAGAACGAAGAGAAGCTCGATAGTTTCAGTCTGGATCAATTGAATGATCACTTCTCGGGATTTCAGTCTTACTACTTGAAGATATGGACATTGTCCTTGTAATGCCTGCACGCAACTGGTGCAGATAAGTGCAGACCAAATCATGAAATATCTTAACTTAAAGAATGTTTTGACCCCCTTCAGAGAGGCTTTCGACGCAATCACAGTTCACAAATTACACTTCTCAAACTTACAAACGATATATGTATGGCCATTAACAAAAAGAGGGTGCCACTCCTACTCTTGTTTGACTTCAGCAAAGCTTTTGACACCATCTCACCCTCTAAACTATTGCACAAACTCTACGCCCTTGATTTCTCAAGATTGGTTCTCCTGTTGATAAGTTCGTGTTTACAAGGTCGGATCCAGAGAGTAATTTCCAAGGACGGTAACTCGAATTGAAAGGAGATCAACCTGGATGTACCACAAAGTTCAATCTTTAGATATCTGTTGTTCTGTTTATATATTAATGACCTAAAAAATATGCTTGATGAACATGAGGTTTCTCACCTCTTTAATACTGACGATTTATAGATTTATCTGCATATAAACAAAAAAGATCTTGACGAGGAAATGGCGCGAATGACTGAAGCAGCGAAACTACTGTCGACCTAAGCTCGCGATTCTGGTCTGTGCCTCAATATTGATAAGACCAAGGCAATAATTTTTGGTACGAGAAAAGATGTGAATGAAATCTATGTTGCGGAATTGCCAGATACTGGGGTACACAAAGCCGGTTCACAACCTAGTCAGTGAACTGGTTACCAGCCTGAGAGTCGTGTTAAACTCTAAGTTGAGGTATAGATCGTACGTGGAGTTGATCTTGAAAAAGTGAAGAAAACACGGTACGATCAGTATTTCATTAGACCACGTACAACAAATCTTCCGAGATGTAGGCTGATACAGCCGCACCTTGATTACTGTGCAATGATCTGCCTGGAAGCCTCTGAAGAAGAGCGCGAGCTACTACAGAGACTTGGTAATTCGTGTGTGCGATAGATTTTTGGTGTGCCGCGTGGTGAATCGGTTTTTCCTTACACAAGACAAAACGTAGATGGAACGAAGGGTGACTAGGACAAGAACTAAAACTGAAACGGCCCGCAGATCATTTCAGATGATGGGTACTTGTCTTTGGAATTCTGTCCCCTTAGTCCTGAGACAGCTGTCATCGCTAAACTCTTCGATGTCCTGGAGGTGCTGCTGGAACAAAGTGACTTAGTCTGTGTGTTTAATCTAGACTAGAATCTGTATAGACTGTACTTTCTACTCCGTCGTATTAAAAACTTGTATTTATATCTCGAGTTGAAATATTAATATTGATGATTGGGGCAATGATTTGTATTTTGTATTTGCCTTAGGAGGAATGA